CAAAACTAAATTTTTGCTGTTAATAAACGAAGAACTAGAATGATCATGGTTAATTAGATTGTCTGTGGCTCTATTTGTCACGGCAAAAACTCACTAATATCCTATGTAGATAATACAATTTTTAAGTATGAATCCCTTAGTGATGCATATATTTCCAACCGTAATCTCTTATTTCAAGAAACGCATAATCTTTCGAGTGCTTAAATATAAAAACTCGTCCAAAATAAAGTCAATACCGGCTTTTTTATTGTAAAAAGTTTAAGTTTACACAAATTCTCCATCTGAGCGTTGTTATTCGCGTATAACTTCAGCTGGCATGTTGGTAGCAGTCTGTGCCTTGCGTCCGCTGCACGTTATCCGTGGCAGCACGTTATTCGTGCGTTTATCTGTATTTATTTCCCGTACGTCGTACTGCTGAGCACCGATAGCTACCGTCAAAGTAGCGTCACCAGCTTCCGCTGACGGTAACTGGGCCTAATCATTTTTTTGTTATGTATATACACATATATATATATGGCTGCTACAAGCGAATCCGCTAAACTTTGAAATTGGGTAACTTTTGAACTACGCGTTGCTAGCAGACGAAATTTGGCTGGTAAATACTCCGATTTCCTAGAAAGTTGTGAGTGAAAACTGGATTTACTCCAGAAGAAGTTTGGAAGGAAATTCTTTTTTGAAAATGAATGCTCAGTGGTTAAGTTTTTGTTTTTAAAAAACCACAGCACTGCGAAAATTCATTAAAAGTTGGTGAAAACTTTAGGCCAATGTGGTTTTGAGAAACGTTTGAGAAACATATCTAAGTGTTAAAGGTTGTTTAAACGGTGGCCAGATGTTGAAACTGAAGGACAAAAGTGGATTGTCACTATCGAGGAAACTTTTCATAAAAGCAGAGCGTCGAGCTTAAGGGTTCTGTCGGCCAAAGCTAGCACTTCACATGTAACGTGTTACAGAATTACAACCCAAGTACTGGAAATGAAAAAAAAAAAAAGTAAAATTGGGTCCCTTGTGAATTGACTTCAAACCTATTGGAAATTCGTGTGGAGTATTCCATGAGCAATTTTCAAAATTCGCGCCAATCGACAATGTATCTTGAGCATGCAGTGGCCTGAGACGGAGCCTGGTCCAGTTTTTGCCGCCAGCTAAAATGGGACCAGACAGGAAAATGGCATCGCTTTGAACAGAAATCGAGGTCGACTGTTGTGTCGACTAGGTTCAGACATAAAATGGTACTTGCAAAGGACTTCAGGAACATTTGCTACTACGAGATACATTCTGAAGATGACACAAAGATCGCTGTTATCTCGAATTTCTCAAGAGACTCATGGACCGTTGGCACGACAATTGAGTGCGCGCAGCCTGCTTATTTGTGATGCCCGATCTCATCGTCATATCTCAACTATATTCTAGACTGAGTAAAAAATACAACGTTTATTCTCCCGATCTAAGTTATAAATTATAGGGCTTATCATGTCCTAAAATAGGCGACTGGTACGTTGACATAGAGCACTATCAATTTACTTTAAAAAACCACAGGTAGAAAAATGACATATGGGAACGCAAATGGTAGGTATAAGGCTCGCCAGAAGTTGCCAGGACGTTGAGGATAAGCGTTATTACAGAATCACAACATAAAAAAAGCCATCATTTTAGCTAAACTAGTTCAGAAGTTATACACTATTAAAAGCCGACAGATTCGCTTGCAACAATCTAATATATATATAAATCATTTGCGAAAATCCTGAGCGTCGCTGAGACTTTTTTTTGTTCATAAATTTCAGTCACCCGGACAAAACGGCAAAAATTTAGTCATCCTCGATTTACGTGAACGTCGTAAATCAAAACACTGAAACTTTGGATTTTGCCGTGATTAATTCCTTTTCAGGGAGTTCTATAGGTGTAATTTAATGAATTCCGTAGAAACCGGGAACTAAAATAAATATACTACCTTAGGTATATTTATATTGATCATTGAGCAGCTCGCGTACGCGCTATTTAATATACATTTGCTTGCTATGCGACCTAGTCAAACTAGGCACGGGCCTTTGACAGTTTCGTTTTATCAAAGCATTGTTCAACAGGAATATTCTAAAATATGAAAATGTCTTAATCCTTAGATTTTATAATATAAAGCTACTTTTTTCGTCACTAAATTGTTAGTGAGTAAATACAGACGGTTATAGCATACTTATTATGTATCGCATATAAGCACATTGTTTTTATGCAGTAGTATCGTCAATAGCAGCTATCAAAGCGTTCGTGGGTACCGTCTTCGGTTTGCTAAATAAAACTCGCCAAAAATAGTGATGTAATTCGAAAATCTATTATAAAATCTAATGGTTGCATTATCTCTGGCTATGACAGCGTATTGATTGTCCTAGTCCTAATATGTTAAAGTTAGAACAACATGGGGGTCTACCATACCCAGTCGTTACGGGATGCCGGTCGGCGTGCACCCAGTTGTCTTTAATTAATACCGCGCATGAATCAAGCTTGATGGCAGTACAGTTATTTCACTATTTCAACCGATGTTAAATGAACTATATCTTACCGAAACGAATTTCGCGTCTTTACCCAGTAAATTTCGAGAAAGCCTATACGCACCCGCTGTAGACTGTTTACGCAGGGTTAAAAAAAGATCTTCAATTGAGCACAAGGTTTGACAAGGAATACGTGACGTGATATTTATTGTCAGCGTAAAGAAGTTTTGAAACAGCAAAAAAAGGACATGGGTATCCTTTTCACTTAATAACCTCACTTAATAGGATTCGATTCAGTCTGGATCCAATTGGCGTTGCAGTCTGATACGCTAAGTAGCAAACACAGTATAGGTATGTGTGAACACATCACGATGCTTGATTGCTGAGCCGCTGACAGCCTGCGTTCGGCTTGAACGGATGACTCTTGAACTCCTCAGAGTAGTTCATGCTGATGCACCCACAAGTATCCTAGCGACATCAGTTTGGTAGTACATTGGCGACACTTACCGCGCGTATGATCGACTCATTGGTAAACAAACACCTTATAGTTTCCTCCAGCGTTGAGCGGTGCCACGACGCTTGTTGATTTTTCCCATCGCAGAGCATCGAGCATGGCGTAGCGCGGGCGTCCGGATCGACCAGTGTATTACTACCCATTCTGAATTTCTTTAGCCATTCATCTCTTATTTAGCTATGGCGGCAGGAGACCTGGGAGATCGGCTCAACGACCACCGATCGGCGGCCAATCGTGAATTGGAACAGTACAAAATGCCGTAACGGAATATATTGCTAGGAAGCGAGTAGATTTACTGCTTATTTCTTCTGCGTCTCTCATCACCATACAAAGCACAATAGTATTGCCAGCAGACAATGTCGTTCTTGTCCGGTTTTAGCTCGTCAAGTGTGTTAGCCTCGTAATGCGAAGACAGCAGCGACGATAACTATGAGACACGGACGGTCCCAACTGTGGCCAAACCCCTGGGCGCACAAGGCACATGTACCTATTTGCTGCTTCTGTTGATTCTACTGCTGCTACTGTACGGCATCATTGGTCCTACGAATGTGTCTATACTTCGACAAGTGGCACTGACCGGAGCTAGGCGGAATGGAGCACAACGAAGGACTCCTCTTCACCAGGGAGCCCAAGAGCTATCAATGTGGAAAGTGAACAACGGCGCTAAGACGCCAGCAACAGGTGTCAGAACAGTAAGGGGGAAGCCCGTATCGTAACCGGCCGAACTGCCTGGCCGCGAGACTGAAGTGGTGGCGGACAACGCTTGAACACACAAAAAAGAGGTGTCCGATCGGAAGCGGGGACTTGTGTAGGTAGGCTGGTCGGTCAGTGAGCTGACGAAGTTGATTTCGACATCAGAGCGGCGGAGTACCATCCGGCCACGCCGAAACAGTACTTACCTATTTTCTTTGCTATGTTCGTGGTCCATTCTCGAAGTTGTTCACACTTGTGCAAAAACAGAGGCAGCGAAAATAGCAGGAGCGAACCCAAAGTACACGACGGGAATAGCTCTACGCATCTTGTGCGGCCGTACAAGGTTCGTACTTGCCTTCGCGTAGACAAACAGCTTGCTCCACCTTTCGCTTTACGAACGCTCACGACAAGTCGCAACGATTTTGACCGCAGATATTACGTTGACTAAAGCACAGGATGGTCACTGCGATCACTTAGGATTCGCAATTATGTACATTTGTAGTAATGTATTATTGCGCCAAATGACGCCGGGAAGGTGCAGTCTGCTTACGCAGACGATCTCATGCATCACTTGAATGCGGTGCTTAGCACACTGCCGGCGTGCTGTCATTAACGAACTCCCGTCTCGGAGCAGGTATTGTAAAACGGCGTCACGAATGTGTGGTATACTTCTTTATACGATCCTATCATTGTACAATGCACCAACGGCGCATCGAGCGAAAACTATTGAAAAAACAATGTACTTTCTTTAGAATTCATTTAATTGTTCAACCGCATATGCATAAGAGAACAATATAGAGATGCACAAAGCGAGTGGTACATAATATATGCATAATATGCTAAAAGTTCTACACTTGTCCTACAAATAGGACACTGACGACTATTGCAACAGTTGCAAACTCTTTTTTTCCCCGTTTCTGCCTATCTCTCCTTTACTCAGAGCGCAATTAATAACCATTTGGCAAATGATGCTACGTTCAAAATGCTAATAATGTTGTTGCTTTCATCAAAACGTTATTATCTAGGTAATTGTCATATTCTCTTTCTTGTCCTATCGACGCTAATTGCAAGCATCGTGCTAGTAGCATCTCCAGCTGACGGAACACCGAATGATGTGTTTATGACCCAACTATTTTATCCTGTTATTACTGTGTGCGTACTTGTGGAAATTTATACGCGCCTGTTTATTGTTATTTATTGTCGTTACTACCTTTACGATGGGTGAACACATTTCGTAGTGGTTTATTTGAGTTCATTTTTGCTAAACAGTGATAAAAGCAAACCATCGGTTGGCTGAAACCCTTTCTGTATTACAGGGTGGAGCAGCTATCGATCTAGTTGAAGTCTCGTCCATCGCGTTCCTACTGTTCTCCGCTACTTGTCAGCGCCTCCCGTCTGCCGATTGCATTATCGTAGAGGGAAGTCTTCACGCTCCTTTTCTTCTCTTGACCGCAGACACAGACAAACGTAAAACAGCAAAAATGCTCGAAACGGAGATAAATGGCAAGGCCGGTTCGGATCGTTCTTCTTCAAAGTCGAGAAGATCATTACAGAAGCAGCGGACCCTGGGCCAGTTAACGGAAGAGCCAACGGGATCGACCAGTACACACATGTGTACTTATCGTGAGGTTCCCAAAGCACCAAGAAGCAAACAAAGCATACAGCTAACGAATGTGTCCACGAGGCAAAACAAGATAGACCTTTGTTTACGTCACCTTATGATTTCGACGAATTCATCTCAATACCTGATGCTAATTTATTAAATCTCGAGAAGAGTATGGAGATTTGAATCTATTTGAATTGTTTCTCCATCTATTCACACCGTATATTTCGTTGGCTGTAAATACGCTAGGATATAAATATGTGGTATATGCAAATGAGATAAGATGAAGTAGGTAACGGCCTTAATTAAAAAGTAAAAAAAATAAGGCTTGGCCTAATATATTTATGTGTTATGTGTCCAATGTATTATACCTACGTAATGTAACTATTTCCTATCACTACGACAGGTAAGACACGCACACGAGCACACTCGTATACATGCTTATTAGACAATAATAATAAATTATAAACGTTATTTACTTATGGATGTTTTAGCAACTTCTCGCCTTGAGGGGCTAGCGAAAACCAGCACCGAAATAGTACGCACCTTACCTAAGGCAATTACTAAGTGCTGGGTTGCCTTCAGCGTGGCGACACCAAAGTGGTGCATCAACAATAGCCAATTAGTGAAGTACGATGTATGTATACTTAATAAGAATACGAGTCTGCTTTAAATATACCACCCAAGTAATGGAACAGAAATCATTAACATATCTTTATGTACAATGCATTTAACATCACTGTATCAGGACATTAATTGAAGCTTTTAAGAAGAAAAAAATAACGATTGTACTAACTTTAAGTTTTGGGATGATACTTTGCCATTTCTCTAACTAATTCAGTTTGTATATGTCACACATGCAACCTGACGTGCCCCCTTGCGGCTGTTTCAGCAATGTTGCGGTCGTTTTTTACCATCCCATTAGAGTATGAAGCTGATTTGTGTTACACCCAATCTAGGACAAGCTATAGTTTGAATGCGGATCTACACGAATATCGTTACTTCGCTGCGAATTCGTTGATAAACGTGTTAAATAAATTTGTTTTAATTGGTTACAACTACCCCGTCACAATGACTTCAGATAATTTGTGACCATATTACGGTCAGTCTATTATTTAGTCGCAACAAGTCAATTGGCTTGGTGAAATTACGCTATTCCTGCGTCAGAATTCACTACACGGAGCCTGAGCCGAGCGTGGGCCTTCTCAGTTTCAGTTACTTCCTTGCTGTTTACCAAAATAAGACACCAAAATGCAATGATTATTCCATAGGAACGTTTTGGTGGCATTGATGTTCTCACCAAATTATACCCATACCGTCGCGCTTCAGGCGTGACAACTAGGCGCAAGGGCTGTCAACGTATATAACATGGAACCAAACAAATCTTATTCCCCGGGTACAAAGCTGTCTGCAGCTTTGCACGCTGATGTAGCTTGTTGTTGTTAGATTAAATTATTTGTTCCGACAAGATCCGAAGGCTTGCGAAGCTGATGTCATGAGTCTATTTGCTTAAATAAGCTGTTCGAGTCTGAGAGATCTTTGTGATACGCGTGGGGTTTGCGCAGTTACGACGCCGCGTGTCAAACGACCTTTCTAGTTATGTAGTCAGACAAAACTTTCATGGTTCCTAAGTAACTACAAAGCCGAAAGTTGTAAGGCAAAAGTCTATGGTTGGCCAGAAAAAAATGTTAGAAAATTAGTAAACAAAAAATATTTCGTTGTTGTGAAACACCTAAGTTAACTTATAGGGCTTCTTAGTAGACGTCACACCTGTACCCTGTTACAGTGTTACTATAATACCACTAAAATGTTTTTTAAATATGGATATTTTTTATTGTATTTAATGCATTTCCCAGTTTCCTAGTCGGCATATTTCGTCAATTCACAACCATAATACTCTAAAGTTATCGATACCCATTGTATGCCTCACATAACTGAGTAGGTCTTTCGAAAATTCTTAACGCCTGCCAAACAAGTTTCCTGGAAAGGTCACACTTGCCTTAATTAACGTCTAAGTCGATGGAAAAAATAATCTTTTTCAAGAAAATAGTTTAGCTGTTACAAAAGACAAAACGTAACATACTTCCAAACGGTTTCTAATATGCTGCACTGTAGACATATCTGTGATCGCATGCAGAGACTGAGTACACGCAACGAATTTATTATTCACAGGCCGTTCTTTAGGGACCAAAACGAACTTTAAAAAAAGCTAGCAAATAAAATTTTAGCAATATTTCTATATAGATATATTATTGTTAACGTGTAAAAATGCATACCCTTATCAGCTATAAATAAAAATTAAAGTGACAATTTTAAAATAGTCATTTAGGATAAAACTAATTAGTAATTAGGATAAAAAGGACAATTTTCCGTTACACAAACAGCTAGAAATAATATTTTTTAATAATAATAATAAAGAATAATTTCACTTGCAATAAAAAGAGCTAAAAGATTTTCTCATATTTTCTTAAAGAAAGAATGTAAGGTCTTTATCATTAATTAGCAATTTCGAATTTTTGGATAATTAGTAATTTTATATTATGCACTTACTATGAACGATGTAATACTATAAACAGTTGTTAAAAAAACAAATCATTTTTTTAACATTGTTTCATTCGTATTATTTGGTACCTTTAGAACCTTCTATCCGATTCGCTAGATTCGATGACGTTCATGACGTTCTTCTACTGATCACAGACCCGCCTACTTTTATATATTCCTGAACTGAGTCTCCTCTCCCAACATTTTTCAGCAACATAGGCTAAAAGTGGATGTCTGCTCTGTTTCATCGAACATTCGACGGAAACCACTCGGACTAAACGAAGAGCATAGCAGCTGGCTTCTAGCAGATCGACTTCGGCCCGATAAGTTGCCTGTTATGCTTGGAGAGCTGCTAATCAGTTACATTGCTGGCTCAGGTGTGCCGAAATGCAAACAGGCAACATCCAGACCTTATCACGAACGAAGATTCTGATTGTCACATCTTGTTTTTTTGGATCCGCCCGTAGTGACGAGTGCAGATAGACAGACTGATGCATTAAACCTCCCATAGACCTTTTAAATACAGGATCACCCCCTTTTTTGTCGCTAAAAAAAACATGTTCGAGATCCCAGCATGACCGTTACGCCTTGACATCTTTAGCCGACAAATTCATGAGCCAAACACAGCAAACTAAATAAAATGTTGTTACTGAGGTGAGCTATGCTTTAATATGGGCTTTAAAATGACCAAAATGCAAGTACTAGTAATAATAAAGAGCAGAAGAGAAGTTCAGCTCGTGTAAGAGAACGTCGTACGAAATAGAAAAATTATATCGTGTCGCACAAGATTACCCATAAACCAAATCAAAAATAAAGAAATTAAGCGTATTAAATTGGGTCACGATTGTCATTTAATTATGAGAATTCGAAAAAGTCTTTATCTTTGAGCCCTCCTCTCATTTGCACATTCGAGGTACACCAAACAAGATGGCCTACATTTAGCCTAAATTTAGCGGTTAAATAAATTTTTCTAAAACACGATTTACTGTCTGGTGAATTGTACCAAAAAGTACTGTGCAGTAGTGCGTACACTCTGAAATACTTAAACGATAATTAGCAATTCCTAAGCTACACACTACATTATAAAAGCGCAAGGGATAATCACTTTGTTAAATCCTAGTCGTACATTTTATTGATTGCTGTTTTATTTTACAATCTATACTTTCGCACAATTCGTACCAATTTCGTATCACACTAGATTACCTCTGACCTCAAGGAAGTGTCGAGGATATTATAGAGCACTCATTTTGTATCCACTCGATGATCTAATTACAGATCACGTTCACTTGTGAAAAAAACATTTGTGAAACTTTTCCGTTCATGATGAACTGACACTTTTATTTTGTCGCGCTCTTGAGATAAGCGATGAGATCGGCCCGCTCCTGCGGCTTCTTGAGTCCGGCAAACACCATCTTCGTACCGGGAATATACTTCTTCGGATCAAGAAGGTACTCGAATAAAGTATCTTCGTTCCACGTAATGCCCTTGGCCTTGTTGGCATCCGTGTAGGAGAAACCAGGGGCTTGACCCGTCTTACGACCAAACAGCCCATTTAAGTTGGGGCCCGTTTTGTGCGAGCCACCTTTCTCTGTCGTGTGGCACTGAGCACATCGTTGCACAAAAATCTTTTTACCCTTCTCGACGTCTCCGGTGGGAATTCCCATAATGGCGCACTACCAAAAACTGACGCTACTTCGTTAGCGAACGAATAGCTTGTGCACAAAATGTTGCCGTCCCCCGGCAATTTGCCTGGTACCGACCACCAATGTGTCTCTGGAAAGCGAAAGGAGGAAGGCCTTGCTAGGGAAGGTGACCGGCCGAAAGTCAAACGGACGAATTTCGGAGAGAGTTGTAGCCGGCGTCGGCAGATGCGTATAAGGATATATAGTTGATTCGCGTTTTCAAAGGCCCAACTGACATAGACACAGAGCGCGCACAGAGACCACTGTTGGAGAAGCGCCGTTGCGGAGAGGGTTTCAATTGCGTCCTATAGGCTATTTAAAAGGCAAAAGCAAGATTGCTAGGCGGTCAGAAAACACCCGCACACATCGAAGGTAGATTATGTCATCACGAACGGAGTGATTGATACGATAACGAACAGTAACATCAATTTTATTAATTAATCAACCAGATTTAATAAAATCTTTGTTGCTGGGTGAAGTAATTCGATTATTGGTCGTACGACGCATATGTAATTGTGTTTTAAATAAAGTTTTCCAGTGTATATTCCATAATTTTATTTACAACTTTACTAAATTTTGCAAACAAGCACCTTGTTTGTCGACAAACAATACCTACACAATAGAGATACCAACAGATGGTAAAAAAATAACACAGAGGGGGTTTGATGTCTGCATGCAACATTTTCCGGTAATTGTCTTTTTTAAACTAACTACTTCTAAAGGACATACTGTATATATATATATATATATAATTAACTTTAGCAAAAAAAAAAACATTTGATCACTATGTATGATCGCTACACTAAAATTGTGGTCTATTTTTATAAATCCTATTTACGAGAGGCGTAAAGGCGAACTTTTTTATACCTGATTCGTAATATCTTTGTAGAAACAATTTATTGCACGCTGGCGGTAGCCAACCTAATCGTAATGACAAATAATCGAAATAATGCCTAATCGCTTAAGTACTAAGGGCAGAATACGAAAAACATCACCCAACGATATTTGGCCTGTGCAATATCGTTCGGTGATGTTTTCGGTGATGACGTCCAAGCAATAAAACGAGAGGAAATTGTCGTTACACTCGTCATTAGCAATATTTTTTCATACGAAAACCGCAAACGCGGCGAATACTCTATATTTAGCTGGCACATAAAGCTGATACATTTAACTATAGCTAAAATATATACCTTGCCTATTTTGCTATTCCTACAACTTTTTTTCTTGAACTCTGATTTACTGATTTTGACCTCGGATTTCAGAAACACCTCACAACGAACTCGCCATATCGAAAAACACAACTTTATTATTATTATGATCACTTCTTTGATTTAATAAGCCCTTTACACTAGGGACTTCGATTGAAGCTCACCGCTGAGGGAAATTTGTTGCTTTCAATAAACGTTAATAATATCGAACTGCACATTAAAAATAAACACTAGGCAACCATTTATTTCGTTTTAAGATTTTCGGCTAAACAAATTTTCTCAATCACCTTCTACTGGACTTCCGTCCATGGACCGGGTATCCATCTGACATCTGAAATGAACTGGTATTTCTGAAGGTATTTCCTCAACGTTCCTATGAAACAGCACAGTAACCACTTGCATCTTGGAATTTGCATCAGTGATGGCAGCACGTTCATCGTTACTATGGTAACGGACTCAAAAAACCCAGATTAACCATCCAGGCCACGCCATCCCTGTACAGAACTGATGTACCTGATAGTTTACACCTGTTCACAAATTGATCTGTGTGTAGTACCGATGCGAGAAGCATCAAACACACCAATGGCTTCTTTCTTGTAAATCATTGTCATTTTCGTTCGAGCCGTACAACAAAGCTGCCATCCCCTTTACAATACAAAAGAACACGATACGATCACTATTTTGCCAAAGTTGACGCGAGTCTTCGTTTCTACATTGAATTTGATGACGTTAGAGAAAGCGTAGACGTGTGAGAATGTGACACAAAGCCGGGCCTCGCGGGGGTGTGTCGTTCAGCTTTTCATCTTATGCTCCTTGCCCACGTGCATATTCTTCAGCAGATCTACCTCGATGACTTCAGCGGTCAACCCGATTCGCTTACATCACAATAGTTCATGAGGCCGGTCCCTCGATAGATGCTTCATCAGGGCAACCAATAAAATGGGGCCGTGAGCCACCAAAAAACACGGTAGAATCAACAACTTGACTACAATAAAGACCCGACACATTGTCAATAATAGTGAACATATACAACGGACTTGAAACCTGACACACTAGTATCTGCTTCTTGTCAATTGCCTGTGGTCCTGAGCAGCCTACTTTAGGTGATCTAGGATTGTCGTTGTATGGTAATAATTATAAACCACCGCCGGTGCATCGGTAATTAATGAATGATATTAGAATGCGGTGCTGTTTAAGGAACAACTCAATCTGGATTTTTACGCTTTTTTTTTTATGATGAACATGACAATAGTAATGAAATTGTTTAGAAATCTTTGGTCCGATCTGAAAGGACGTTAATTTGTCTCTAGTTTTATTTTTCTAAGTAATTCATACATTCGTATAAGCTGCAGTTACATTTTTTTGCATCCTATCCCCTCATCATTGTCAAGACGGAGACCACGTATGATAGGTACTGCGAATATGGAAGCGAGTTTTTTTTAAGATTCGTAAAGCTACACGAAAGTAATGCCCCGTAGTACGTACAGATTCACTATTTTTGAGCGCTCTTTACTTAGTGGACTGCCTTTTCAGTAAACAAAAATGGACTAGGTCGAGGAAGATAAAAGAAAACAAGACTAAATTGAAAATAAATACAGGGTAAACGGTACCAGATCGCTAAGAACTAAAATAGACCTTTGATATTCCTTTTCGCCTTCATTGCCCAAATAACATACTATTATATTTTATGTACAACGAATCTAATTCACCATTCCTGCTGCAGCGAGTAGGAATGAGCTATCAGCACATCATCATAACACATTGAAAGGACGAAACAAATTTCGCCTATTCAGGCACGAACAAAAACCTCGCTTGGGCATTCTTCTCTCTGTCTCTCTCTCTATCTCTCTCTCTCTCTCTCTCTCTCCCTGACTCGATAACCCCTCGGGGCATATCGCAGGCGCCTATTGGCCTAATACAATATAATGCCAGTCAGTCAACCTGCCACTAGCGGATGACAATTTAAATTGCCATCTAACTTATCTGTTTACCACTGTGAGTCAATACGATACTGCGCGGCTGTAACGTTGGCCTCCGCTGTGACAATCGCATACCGTAATTTTACTTACAGGGCGCACAGATGCGTTCGCAGTTTTCAGACCATTACAAATAACAGTAGCGCGTGTTCACTGAATAGATGAGCTCGGCTTACGTCGACCTGCTCCGAAATAATAACCGTAATAACTTTCCTTATTCACACAGGTTATGTAGTGTGTGTCATTGGCGAACCTGTTGGTGAAACGATCTTTTTCAGCCGAAGGCATGCCCCTCCAAGTCGTCGCGTCGACTGCTTCGAGTGGTAAACCAGTCAGTTACTAGTTGTTAGAACGATTCTCGTAGTCTTGGTGCTTCTTCATCGCTTATTTCGAAATTCATATTGACGTCGTCGTTGACATTGTCGGTAGAGCAGTCGTTTCTTCAAAAGGCAGAAACGGTAGCGTTTATTTCGGTGCATTTCCCGGCGAACAACCATTCCCTGCGGCATCAATGTCTGGAGAAGCGTGGATCTCCCAAAAACGAAAAGCTGTGAGGTAATTCACCCAAGCGATATCGCATAACGGCGTGAAGTCTCGTTTTTGGTCTCTGTAGTAAGAATGATATAATTAAGAGCAGCTGCCAACGGTTGGATTAGTAGCGTAACACATAAAGTAAGTGTAATCGTCATGAGAAGGGTGTTTAATCAACAGGAAATACGATACTGCATGAAAAAGCCATGTAATACGCTTGGTGCCCTTTTCTTAAACAGAGAGGACATAACTCTTATAGCAGACGAAGCTCCCGGCGTCCGCCGAAATCGTTTCTATTGATTTTATGAAGTGGACATGAGCAATTGATCGCCCTAAAATATTTATGTTTTTAACAATGCTGTCAACAATAATGATGAAAGGCTACGCTGCCCCAGTGAGCTATAGCAATAATAATGACAATAGCATGAAAAAATCCTTCATTAACCATGTGGGCTGCACACCTGATGTGTGACGAGTTCGAATTTCTGGGACTGGTACACAGGCTACGTCTCGAAGGCCCAAAGGACTGAGCTATCGTGGCCGTCTATTGCATGGAAATATGTCATCAATAGGCGGGCATATGAAAGGCAAACTAAGTATAGATTTTAGGTGGTGGAAACTTAACGAAAACGGAATGTTTGTTTACAACTTTCAAAGCTTATTTCAACACGTAAATAAATGATTAAATGTCTACGGTATAATGATTCCCTGATCAGCGGCAACAATGTGTCTGTTAAGAATAATGAAAACACCACCTAACACTATTGAAATATTTTCAAAGTACACCCATCCAGACCATTTTTAACTCACTACAAACTAATGCTTTCCATAATGGGGTTGAGTTCATTTCTGAAATCGTCGTTTAGACTATAGGACTAAACTCAAACGTAATCTTACTTTAGAAGAAACACCGCTGATCTTTAAAAACCCTTTGCATGTAGTTTAAAATAAACTAATTAAAATAATTTCAGATCTTCCAGAAAAGACGCGATCTTTAGGGGCTGGCCCTGGTGTTTGTTCGGTGCCAATTGTATCTCATTCATCCGAGCTTCATATTTAAGGCCAGTGTTCGTGTCTAACTGCGTCAAAGTGCTTCAAAGTTCACGCCTCTCTTTTGCGTAGAGATCTCGCAAGACCTGGGCATACGTCTTTAACGACTTGGCCCTATCTAGCAAGTGCCTAACCTTCACATATATCGGCATATTTCGGCAATTTGAAATAGCAAAGACACGCTGAAAATTCAAAAGGTAATTACCAGCATCTACTCTGTGTGCGCGCGGCAAGTGAAATTAGAGGGCAGCAATGGCTCAGTCATTTAACGACAGGGTCTTTGAATATAAGGTTAAAGAAATACACATATCTCGTATATTACATATGTCCCTCTTACGCAGCACCAATTATCCTGCTTATTTCGTCTATACCTCATTCTGATCTAGTTCTTTAGATTTACTTTACGTACTATGCCCGTGTAGCACTATTGCAACTATCATCAGCTGAGTGTAATTATGCAATTTCTACAGAATTCTGAAGGCGACATTGTATTGTTACTCTGTATCGCTAGTCTAGTAATTTTGATCTGAACTTTTCGCCTTCAGGAAATCAGCGTTTCCCATTAGGCGGTGATGCCATAAGGCGTGGTTGTCCGTCGACGAACGCACCTAAATAAAGATGACTGTTTCTGCTTTTGGTAGAAACGACTGCGTTAGCGACAACGTCAGCGACATTTTGAAACGATCGACAGCGCCACACCACAAACGTTCCAATAACCGACAACTAACAGTTGACAACAGTTCAACGCAAGCTGCGTTGATATATCCAGCAAACACATGCTACTGTGGTTTGTAATGATCTGAGAGATGAGAATACGTTTGTGCGCTCTGTAGGCTCAATTATGGTACACGATCATCGCAGCAGAGGCCAGTGGCACAATCGCACAGTATTCACTACGGTGGCAACCAGATCAGTCAGATGACAACCGAAATCATCATTTGCCAACAACAGATAGACTGATGGGCGCCTGGGATTTTGCTCAGTGGGGTTTATCGAGCCACTAGGAAATAGCGAAAAAGAAGATGCCTTAAACTACGTCTTCATCGTTCTTCAACAACCAAAATTCGCTTTTTCCCTTCAATGTGTTTTGTGATGATGCTCAGCGGCTTATTGATTTGCTGTAGCGGGAACAGTAGATTACATTCATTGTGCATCGTAAGTCATCAGAGCGGTCAATAGCGTTGAATTTCAAAGGTCCATTTTGCTTCTCTGGGATCTGGTTTTTTTTTTTAACTCAATCCCGCAATATTTTGATCTGCTCTGTCTGTGCTAACAGGATACGAAATAAAGAGTTGGCTGGCACATAAACGTAAAGCCACGGGTACTACCACATGATGCAGCAGAAAACGCTAGTGTTAATTGTGAAGTTAATAATGCTTCATATTGCTATTGAAAAGTAAATGTAGTACACAGAACCGTGGACTATAGAGGATAACCTAACCGAAACAATATGCTAAGTAACCTTTACTATTGGAACCATGTACTTAAAACACTAAAGCCAAACTAACTTGGTTAACTTTTCCGCTGCTTGTCCATGTGACCTTTGGCTAACACCAGGTAATTACGTTTGTTTCGTCCAATATTTACCTCTGCCTTCTCATCACTCGAAGTACTCAAAAATACACGATAAATAGATCCCATTTGAGTCTAAGTTTTATATGACAAAGAATGCGTTAGCATTTTTAGTCAACACTGGACACAGTTGGATATTTTATCATTATTTATTTTTTTTAATTATTGGCTGCATCTAACGCACGCAACAAAACACCCTATTTATTCTTTATTTCAGTGTTATAGTCCACGAACGATGTTTACTAAACTTTGAAAATATCACAAAGGCTATATTTAGGTGCATCAGCGGCCTGTATTTAATTAGATACGACAATTGACGTTCCGAAAATTGCACAAGCTTTTTTTGTCATTAATTGTTCTTTATTATTCGGGTTTTTTTCCGAAGATGACACAACGTTTCGGCGGGCCGAATCGATTACAATTCAGTTGTAAACATACCTTTAACAGTAGCTAAAGGTAAAACTAATAATGACTAAAAGGACGCATACATGAAACAAGATTTGAGTTTATTCAACATTTAAAAATGATTTTTTGTGCATATCCACAATCAGCTGTATGCAAACAAGCTTGTTTTGTCTCCGTATACCTTCACGCCTCGATTTAAAACTAGAACGAGGCTAACGAGGAATACTACTAGCTTCACTAAGATGGCCGTACGTGTCAACAACGCTTCAAAAATCTAGAACAAAAAAATTCTCCATTCCGGGAGTCACAAGCACCTTGTCTTAATTTCCGGCTTGTGCAATATATCCTTCATCATTACTCGGGTGCCAATCCAAAATCCGATGGCTTCGATAGACAAATTACGTGATCTAATGCCACTAGTATACACCAGTCAATATACAGGCTTAATGGAGCGCTCTTGGTATAAAAATGATACGCAATGTGACGATTAAACGCTCCAAAACGATTTCCAATTATAGGTAGATTAACTGTTCAAGGATATCCCGTAATTAATGTTTGCTAGTTCGTAACCAAAGTGACTAATTCGGCGCAGGTAGTTCTCATAAGAAGAAAGACGCGCAGTATTCAAGACGTTGGTCATGTTTATATATGAACAATCTCTACACGTAAATGCTCACTGACAGAAAAACTTACATGATCCATTCACTTTTTCCCGTAGGACTTAAAAGACTTTCTTCTCCCATAAACGGTTGTCGTGGCAGCTCTTAATGCTAACTACAAGCACGTTCCATATCGTGATGTACGACACAAATTGTACAATTTTTTTGAATCTACATAAACAGCCTATGCGTCACATTTAGCAGGACAGCAAAACAATTAAGTTAGATAAAATTACCAAAAATACGTCACTTTCAATGGATAATAACACCGCCGACGAATCAAAGCCGGTAAGTATTATGATATAATCCTTCATAAAATTTCGGGAAACATCGTAGGGCATAAATATGACTCGTGGCTCAAAGGAACCTTATGAAACTTATGGCCACCCGATTTCGAGCCGGTTCGACAGACATCACCCGACCCTCGATCGCGTCCCCAACATGAAGTTTACCGTTGGCAGCACCCATGAAGCGAGTCGGTAACAAGACATCGTTGCCAAGAGCGACATCGACGAAAGCACCGAAAGGAACAACGTTCATAACTTTTCCACGCATTGTGTCACCCGGTCGTACATCACTGATGGTACGAAGTGATTCACTAAAGATCGGTGCGCTGCCTTCATCACGAAGGTCGGAACCTCGTGGAGCCGCCAGTGCCTTCAAGATAAACTCGACTGTGTGCTGAGATACGGAGAGTTTCGATATGAGTCTGCTGAATGTAGCGGGTTTCGTTTCATTAACAATGACCGCGATAAAATGCGGTGTCCCTACTTCATTGACATCGAGATTCAACTCTTTAATAATAGCGCGGGCTGTTGAATACGATTCGGGATGAACAATGGTTGTATCCAAGGGTTCGAACTCCTCAGAAATCGTCTGTTTCATATTCGGCTTCTTTACTCGAGTTACAATAACACTTTCATCTAAGCATTTTTGAACCGTTTCGGGTAAGATCTTAACGAATCCCGCACATTGCTCGTATCTCGTTGGCCCTATGTGCGGTACAAGTTGCAGCTGTTCGCGATTCATGAAAGGCCCATGTTTTTGACGATACTCGATGATGTTGCGCGCTGCCATTGCATTTAGCCCTGCCACCTGTCGGAGAAGAAATTCTGGACAAACATTGACGTCGACACCAACAAAACTGACACATTCAACTACTGTTCCCTGAAGTGACTCTTTAAGTCTAGACTCATTAATATCATGTTGGTACATGCCGACTCCAAGATGTCGCGGTTCGACCTTGACGTACTCAACAAGTGGGTCCTGCAATCGTCGGGCAATAGCTACGGCACTTTTCACAAAGCTATCCAGCCCTGGTAATTCCTTTTCAGCTTCTGCCGAAACGCTGTATACCGACACGCCAGCCTCACGGACCGTTGAGAAGCGTACCTTTTGTCCAGCAAACAGCCCTTCGCGGCTGCACTCCGATATCATAGCTTTAACCTGTTGGCTTCCTTTCCCATCGCCGACGGCCACGAGATTGCACTCGTAAGTTGTGATGAGTCTGGCAAGTTGGCGTTTGGCCGCATGCCGCTCTCGATCGGGGTACATGACTCCATAAGATAGAACCTCACCTGTCTTCGAAATCATTGCCATCTTGCATCCATTTGCAAAGCCTGGATCTACGCCTAACACCGCTTCGCCTCGAACAGGTGAAGCCATCAATAACGAACGGAGATTAGATGCGAATACTTTAATCGCTTCATTCTCAGCTCGCTCCTTAAGGTGAGCTCGCACCATACGCGTTAAATAGGGCTTACATAATCGTTCACTGCAGTCCGATACAGTGCTCTCTATCAGATTCTGGCACGCTTTATCCAAGGTGTTTGGGCCAAACCTCTGACGAAGTACGTCTTTTAAAGAATGCAGAACGAAATCAGGTACCTGTACTGCGACACTAAGAAAGCCCAGATTTTCTCCACGATTTATAGCCAGCACCTGAAAGGAAAAAGATGAAAAGTTAAAATCCTATGGCAACGCCGGAATAAATTTAATGCACTGCCTGGTGTAGCATAAACAGTACGTATTAATGAGACTTAAAAGAATGCCAACCTGATGGCTGTCAATAGCAGAGATGCTCCGTTGAAACTGGAAATAGTCCTGAAATTTTACTTCACTTTCCTTAGGGTTGACGGGTACCTTCGACAAGGCCTTCTTCTTTTTTACCAGGAGACTTAGCTGAGATGATCGACTCATGCCGTTCAAAGTATCCAAAATAACACGGTCTTTTCTAAGCTCATCGGCTAAAATGTATTGGATTGACTGCAGCACTTCTTGCTGGGTTCGCTTACCTTCAACTGCTGGATCAACAAAAGACGTGATCTCAAGTTCGTCAAACTTTTTTTCGCCCCGCCAGAAGCTTAGGGCTATCGGCTCTAATCCAATACTACGCGCTTTGCCGGCGTAAGTTCTCGGCCCACTTGTTTTAAGAGGTTCGGCGACAAGGTCCAGTTCATCGCATGATTTTGCCAGAAAAATAGCGTTACGAACCGAACTGGTCAGCTGGCCTTGCGCAGCCAGCTTCGTAGAAAGGGCCTCCGCTTTCTTACGTACTTGTAAAAGTCGCTTATGCTCATCTTGTATCATTTGTATTGAATCGGTGGATAGTCCGCCCGATTGTTCGCGCCGATAGCGGCAAATAAACGGTATAGTGGCGCCTTGTTCTAGCATTTGAACTACCCGTTTCACTGACGTATAGTTCACATCGACTTTGTTTGAAACAATTTCATAAATGTCCCATAAACCATCCGACATTTTCGAAGTTCCCGGTTGTTCGTCTACGTTGATGATCTCACCATCGACAAATTTACTGTATGTAGTTTGCTCCTGCTCAAGGTTAGATGCATTTGCAGGTTTTGATGTAACCTTCTTTTTGCCTGGCGTCACTGGTTCTTCTTTAATTCGCACAAGACTTGCCTTTGCCTTACGATCTGTCGCTGACTGAAGTCGCTTTAGAACAAGTTTTTTTTTGCCGATCGTGTTTTTTGGCGGTGTTTTTGATAGCCTAGATTTCAATTTGGGACTTAGAGTTTTTTTTAGACTAATCGGATTCGCTCGTGACGGAACTTGTACACGTAAATTGAAAGGAACACAAGATACCTCTTCGCTTGGCGAAGATTTAAATGGAGAAAACCTATTAGATAATTGAGCCCTGGTGGAAGTCACGGAAAATGCAGAAAACACAGATTTTAGCACGGCTTCTACGGGGTGACTTTCAGAGTTCAATTCCTGTGAAAGTTTTGACCCTGAAGTTGAAGGAATTTGAGTTGCCTCGCGAGAATTTAAACGAGGTTCACGTGTAGCCCCGGTGGAGCCATTTTTTCGCTGAGGCTGCGGCATAACCCTTGCGTGGCTAACAGGCCGAACCTGAAAAGTTGAGTAAATGCCGGGTCTTGATCATCAAAAAAAAAATGTTTGCTGTTTATAATTTATATGAAGACAGGTTCACAAATGATACGCTTATAGTCAACCCTCCAAAGTACTCTTGTTGGTTACTCTAAGTTTCCACATTCGCGCTCAAAGAAATTTAACGTTATTTTTTCTTCTTTTATATTCTATGTACATAAAAGATTGTTAATAATGGAACAGACAGTAAGTGGCATCGTTATGGTAGAGTTTGAGTTTTCGTGTGCGTTTTCCTAGTTAGGATAATCATTAGAGCAATAGTTTCAGACCGATAACTTGCTCAAGATTCGGCAAATAAATGCTCACTCAGTATTTATTGGAGTGTTTTAAAGCAACGAGAAGGAAATCAGGATGGTTCTCAATTGGCTTTTTTTCTTAATATTAACACCGTTCCTTCTTACTAACAGGAAGCGGAAATTCATAATTTTCCATTAAAAAACAAGGGCAATATTTGGTAATCGTATAGAGCTGGGAAAGGCTATTAAAGGTAAAAATAAATAAATAAATAAATAAAAACATTAGATAGTTTCTCTTTTCTTTTTCATTAGTGTTAATTTGCTCGTCTTATGTAAATACCTAAAATAAAGTATTTAGCTTCTTATTTTTGGGCTAAACAACTATTTACACTAGAGGACTCATAGAACAACCGGAGCATCGAAACGCATCCTTTTACTATGTTCCCTACAGTTTTTTTTTTAAATAGAATCTGACCTTTTTAATAGCAACTATATTCATTCACCTTTAGGGAATTACGTTTGTGATATACAGTTGAGAGCTTTTCAACCTTGCTCCTTGAGTTCATTCTTTTTGACAAGGTGATCTGAGGGGTTGTTGGTAGAATCTGAGTCAGAATATCTTGCTCCGGAAGAACATCTACCTCCGAGAGTACTTGAGTCATGACTTCGGCTTCCGAATATGCTGTTGCCTGCATAACTTTTCCAGGGGACAACGCCTTATCGTAAAAGAAATACATTTTTAATTAACATTAATTGGATGTAACACGTTGAGCAGGTAAGGGAATAGAATAACATAGTGATCGTCGTACACTGTACGCTAAAACGGTTTAAACGAAACCAAGTACAATATTTGGTCTTATAGAAAAAAAAAAAGTAAACGTTCATATAGCAGAGGTAAGTTTCGGTTTGCGATAATCGTTGTTCTCTAACTGGGTTACTTAATGAGTTGCGTAAATAAATCAAGCTGTCGCCGTTCACATTTGTTATGAAGCTGCAAAACTAGAAAGGTAATATATATATATATATATATATAAAAAAAAGAGCATCAGGAAAATATCTTATGAAACCAACCTCGCAGTTATCGTCACTTCTGGATGCGTGTTCTGGTTCTAGCTTAACTTGTGATGCACTGTAATGGATGTTCGTATCCACACCGGCGGACGGCCGCTCCTGTTTGATTTGTCCTCCAACAAAAGAAACCCCATCCAATTTCTGAGAAAATAACAGATTAGGCGAATCCCCTTGAGGTCCTTCTTGTTCAGATGTTCTGCAAATCTCCTCTTTAACCGATACACTGCCAAATCCCTCACCATTATCAAGCGATAAATATTTAGTTTCCGCCTGGTGAACGTAATTAATTGGTATCCGTCAGCCCTCTAAATCTATTTTAATATCGAACTTACTCTATCCATATAGTAAATATAAATATTCGAGGTTGTTCATAACACAGATCAAGTTTCAATATGATGCCTTTATTATAACAATTCCATTGCGGCATATGAGCATTGCTGAAAAAGGTTAATCATCGGTAAATTGCTTATAATAGTATTAATAAATTGAAGTCAAGTTTCAACTTACCAAGTTTTCTTTTTGCACCGAGTTACCCAAGGTATCCTCATGAACTCGCCTAAAACAATCATTCATCCTTTGCACGCTAACTGGTACTGACTGTTTCAACCGTTGAATTTTATTCACTGATCCATTGTAAAGTTCTCTTTCGTGTCGTCGCTTCGACGGAACCGCGATGGGTCCTTCGACATCTTCTGCTGGCTCCCGCTTAACGAGGTTGTCTCGAGGCTGCACCATATCTTCCTCATCGTCGCTTATTAGATAACTAATCGGCCTAGGGACCTTGCGCTTCGGCATAATTTTTTGCCTCGGTGATGACTACCAAGGTGATGAAAAAAACAGAACGGTCTGAGGAATTAACTCTACATGAATGTTGTAGTAAAGCAATGCCCTTGTTCTTAGGAGGATTGATTTATTGGTTGCATCTCTATGGTGTGCGACGTGATGTCGCTACTTAAAAGCAAAAAACAGTAATGACTATAAAGCATATACTACTTAAAGTTATTTGTTATAGCTTTGATTTGTATGTGAGTAGTATTTAGGGTTTACGACTATTTAAGGCTGTTGAGCGACCTCTACATTTTGTAAGTTCAAGTAAGTTATGCTAAGCGAACCAAAGTATATAGCTGTTAAGCATTTAGTCAGTCAGTCGGTCACTGGTAAGAAGGAAAAATTGTTAATAAGATAATCTCATGATATATTTTATTTTTCGGATTGATTCCGTCCCCATGACGGCGGGATGATAATGTGTTTACGCAACATACCTGATGACAGGCGAGGTAGACACGCTTCGTTTTAAGTTGAAAACCGACCATTTGAAGCCATACTTACACGCAATACTCGAAATTATTAGAATTCATTGATTATAAGGCGCCTGAGCAGCCCATAAAGTTTTAAATGATATCCAATTTTACGGATTTCCTCACTGCCACTACGATACGAAGCTACCGAAAAGCTTGTTTTTTAGCACTAGATATGAATAGAGATTCTATTTTCTTTGTGTGTCCTTAAAAATACAATCATAATTTACTAGTAAAAAGAATGATTACATATTTTTAATTGAATACGTTCTCGGCCTCATACATGCCTATTAAGCAAATATATATATTTGCTATATATATATATTTGCATATATATATATACATATATATATGTGTGTATCTATGAATTAAGCTCTTTTTAACAATAATAATAATAACGTTAAATATGATCATTTATTAAGAGCAATTTACCCGTTAATTTTTATTTGTGTATTTTACTTAGACAGATCAACCATAAAATGGGTGCTTAAAGTAAATATAGTATATATATATATATATATATATATATAAATATAATATAATAAATAAAGAACAATTATTATGGCATCCTACCGGTATTACTACATTTTTTTGTACAACGGAACCATTTAGATTCTAAATGCAAGATTCACTTCTTGAAATGTAATGTCAGAGTTTTTTCATAATGAATTAACTCAACCCTAAATCATTTTTATAATGATTCCGGAGTTTTTTTCCGTTCCACCAATTAACGACTAGTTAACAAGAAGGCAAAAAAACTTATATCCTTAACTTAAATTTAAATCATCGTATAGTCTAGAGACACGCTAGTTTTTAAAGTGTTTTTTTTATGCATTTGTCCCAAATTTTTGGAGGTTTACACATACACTACATTGTTCGACATCTGTCAGTTTCGAGGTAAATAAAGCGCACAGAGAATTAAGACACAACATTTTAGGAAATCATTAAAATGCTTACTTCAGCTGCACCCATCAACCGCTGTCTTCTCGATGCTCGCGTACACCTGGCTTCCATGGTTTGTGTATCTTACTGAAAATTTTCCCGTTTCATGGTTGCCAATTTACGCCATTATAAACAACAGAAGCAACCACTTCAGACAGTTGTTTTTCTATAGTTTTTCAGTGCACATATATTCCACACTAAATCAGTGGCTGACAGCAGAATCTCATTTGTACTTTTGTACACTTTGTACCCGCTGGCCCACTTTTCGCTGTCAGTGGAAGATTTCGTTCATTTTCGTACACATCTCATATAATCCGACAGTTGGTTAACAGACGATCCTACTTTGTATTGTTGTTTTATGGCATTCGGGCGCAACGCGCATCTCTACCAAGCGCGCGAAAATTGAAATCAACTTTGTTTTTTCGAAAATAGCGATGGCTCGATAGTATATGTTAATTATCGAAGGGCGTATAATTGACTATAATATATACGGATATAGAGGCGGACCTTGCCACAAAATTCTTCATAGGATTCTCCTGGGATTGTAGATACAATAGTTCTTTTCAGTATTTCGCAGACTTTTTTTGAAAATAAAAAAAAATCGTATTCAATATACACAGCATTTGCAATTAGACCTTATAATAACATTATTTGGAATGATGATTATAATCTATATATCTAGGAGGATACCATTTATGTGTTATACACTGATTAAAACGCGGTTCGTTGAGGTTTCTAAATTTTGTAAAGGATTATGATAAGCATATTCTAAACTCTTTTGTATAATATTTTTTTTGGACTTTTCATAATTTAATTATTGTTTTCTTCGCATTAGGTAACGTTGCTACTCTAAGCAAAGCAGTTGAAGATACTCCCGAAGGGAACTCTTGTTATTTGTTTTTTATTTTGCTTTTTCTTCAGTTAAATTTCCCTTGTTGCGAGTTGTTATATAAAACTCATCCCTTAAATCCTAATTAACTATGGAAAAAGTAATAATTAAATTGAAAAGCGGTAAATAGAGCTGAAATGTATCTTTAGTAGAAATAAATGCGTGTTATTAGTTCAGTTAAGCTACCTGCTTGAAGTTGAATTCAAGTATCACTTGTCGAAATCATTCAATAAATGATAATTCATTCAACTCTAACGTTTCTTTAACGTTTGTTCTTCTGTTGAAGGGAGATTTAAGGTAACCATTTTTATGTTGTGCTATAATGTATTGTAAAAATGACTGTAAACATTATGAGCTAATAAAAGTCACATTACCTATTATAAATAAAATACTTTCTCTTCATGTCAAATCAACTGAATGACGAAAATGACTTTTAAAATGAAAAATAATAACGAATCTCACAATGCGACATTTCATCGCTTTATAAAAATCAATTGGTAACAAAAGGTGTGGGTCCCAATAATACAGTTTGGTAATTCTACGTTTAACACCTGGTTATGTTATGAGCGAGCGGGCATTGAGCCTGAGACCACATTCAATGAAGTGAACAAGCATACTATATTTTTTACTATATTTTTTCTATTGGTTAAACCCATTAGTTTTGATTGATTGTTTTTACTTACTTATATCAGGGCTTCTTCTCCCAAATGACCACCCTAACAGATGCTCGAAAGAGAAAAGTAGTTCACAAGCACAGCTGAAGCGTGTGAGCTAGCGTATATTTTATTCAACTCAAAGACCCGTTAACCGAAAGGCTCTCACTACTATTATTGGTTTACCCTATAGCTACTTGACCACTCTGGAGCGTAGGCTCCTTTATGGATAAGATGCTAGCACTATAACCTCGGTCAATCAGAAAATCATATCATCAATCATCAGAAGGATTGGAAAAGATGTAATGATTTATGTGCGTCAAATTAAATATATACAATATTTTTTACGTTTACCGTAATCAGCGTAATTTATGAAAACTCTGCATACGTTAAGGTGAAAAATATTGAATAATAATAACTTCGTAAGTCTTCAGTTACAACGCGATGTCCATTTACGCATGGTTTGTTGAGTTGAAACCGGCGACTGTCTAATCTCGGTGGGCGCTATTCAAATAACAGTTCATGCGTTATGCAGCTTGTTCTAATTATTCCGTTTCTGTTGACCTTCACAAGGTCATTAATGCATCCTTTCCGCTGTTACAAAGATTATTATAAACCCTTTCCCACCAGTGGCAGGTTTTTACATTGACGCGTTGTTTGTGAGACTCACGTCTGCCTAGCACCTATTAGTTCGAATTTTATCATAGCAACGGATGCTACACTCATGTGAGTCGAACGTGCTCGGCCAGTTCTTATGCTAAACGAGTACTGGACCAGCTCTGGCCACCTGAGAGAACCGTTATTTTGTTATATGAAATTAGATGTATTTCTATATATGGTGGAATGAGTAAGATGATTCATCTCATGGTTCAGAAACAATATCATTTTCTTGCTGGAAGAGTGCTTCATTGGAAGGCGCAGAATACGTCCGCTACTGACGAAATCCAGTTTCACTGTGATTTTTGCCGAAGATTACTCACTAGCATCACTTACAACTAGTCCGTTCAGTAGTTAGGGACAAAGAGAAGGCATTTCTAGCTTTGTCACGAGAGGTTAATCCCCGTAATCGCTTGGTGGCTAACGAATTTTCGTATTAGCCTTAGGGACACTCTGTAGTCCGGGTTCGAACCCGGGCGTAAATAGATACACACGGTGCGTTTCGTGGTGGTTGGGAGCCAGTCGTCTGAGTGATGGAATGTCTGTCTAAGGAACTTAAAACATAGGTACAGCAGAGGGTAACACGCTGACCATTTTGCAAAAAGCAACAGGACATTTTAAAGTAATTCATAGCTAACAGCTTAAAATGAGATATGGTTCAATCTGATTCGTACAAGGTGCCATTGAAAGAACCCCGGCCGTTCAAATTAGGCTAAACAAAACATGCGTGCTTAGCAGTGAAAGTAACTTTATTTGCTTCTTCTCTAAATTTTTTTACCATGCCTGTGAAAACTACGTAGTTATTATACAATAATTTCGTCATCGATGCAGCAAAACGTAGCTAATAGATTGCCTTTGTTAATCCATCGTTACCAATATACTAATGCAACATAAAAGGTCCGCACTATAGAATTTTGCTTGATTATAAAATTGGAGAACGGCTTCGGTTGAACGACCGGTGAAACGGAACCCTTGTTGTTCGAAATGGTGGCGTCCACTGCATCGCTGCTCGTACCAGAAGAATTGTTATGGAATTTAAAGGTCAACGTGAAACAATAGAATATTGTTGATTCCAGCTAAATGAGTGTAAAATCATGTTTTTGTGGTTCAATATATGCAGCCCACGAGCTTTACACAACGCCGAAACTTCTATGGAACCTTTATGAGAGAAAACAATCCACACAAGAATAACTCAACAAAAATGTAGGGTATATTTCGCAACATTTCAATTAAATAACTGCCTGGCGTTTTTCCTTTTACCTATTTATCTGTTGTGAATTCTATTAAAAGTCTGACAACCTAGCCATCGTTCGAATAACATACTAAATTAGAAAGATATCAAATGGAAAATGTCGTTGACATATGCAGTATAATATGTCACACCCGCACCTTTGCAAAGAATATCAGCATATCCGGTAATTGAAGAATCCTGCCATGGAAAGCTAACTTTCACTAGATAGAATTGGATCGTCCCAGTAACTTGCTTGAAACTGATGGTAGTCTAGATTCTGAATCTAACAAAAGGACACTGTTTCATACTGAAAAGGCTGAAGAGCATAGTGGATATAAAACATTATTTAGACATGATCTGAAAGCTTGTGCTTGAATTCGTTATACTTTTTATTATATTATTGATCAACTTAAAGTTTCTATTGCTTATTCAAATGTTATTATTATCTATGATCAAATTATTAATTTAGTTTAAGAAAGTTATTAATCATGCTAAATGTTATTAGCTATCACGTCTTTGGCGATTCGTTTAACGCGAATCTCTTTGTCCCTAACGTACTGTAGAATAGAAAACACAATAAGTGTTAGTTTCCATACGATTTTATGAGCAATTGACGTAAGTATTTACGTTCATTTTGGCCGACTATGTTCTATTACAAATTCATACTATGTCTGTTTATTATATAATAACGACGTACGAACCTATTTTCCATCTACCGTACAACTTAAGGCTATACATGCAAGGGGACTTATTTATTTCTCCGTTGTAGGTAAAATGAGTAAGCCGTATGATGTATTTGCGTGCGAGACAACCTTCAACTTAAATTCAGCCACTTTAAGAAAAATCAATAACACTCTAGTTGTAGACAAACATGAACGTTTCTAGAGAGAATTAGTGAAGAAAAAAAAACATTGATAAAACGATTGGTTTTAAATCGGCGGTTCGTCCTAGGTCTCTTTTCTTTTTTGTTCCATTATAATGTATAATATAAACAGCACTGCTTTTATTATCATCGATGCATTGTAACCGAACTGTAGTTTACGTAATCGTATTGACGCGGTTCGGCCCTGAACTAAATTGAATGACAGTCAGATATTTGTCTGTTGTCGTCTGCTAAGGCGTGGGGAGGCTTCAGCTGGACCCACTAGCATCCGCATCTATTTAGTTAAAAACACATTTCTCGGTAGCGTTTAATGTAAGAAGGCTTAGATAGATCGACATCAAGGACGACGCCTTTCTCATGGATATTTGTGTACTTGGTAAGATAAGATCATTTTAGCGTCACATTTAATAATAAGACGATAGGTTTTATTCAGCCAGTGAGAGCTGGTACAAGTGGACGAGCATCTGTGCGTAAAAGAATTTCTCACTCCGCTAGCATTAGTGTCGGCACATTGGAATCAAAACATTTGATTTGTTTTTATCTTCTGTAACGTACTAAATGACAAGTGACGACGTGCGACGGGGGCCAGACACCGATAATACAGGAAAAAAGCAACATTACTAAAAAATATGATCCTTCTCAATCGTTTCTTGCAGAACGAAAAGTTGAACATTATAAAAAGTTGAAATCATGTTATAATTTAATATGCTTCAGGTTATTAAAACGGGTATGAAATAGCTTACGAAAGCTTCCCTAATGAATTTCGATCGCCATTCTCTCAAAACGAATAATATGATGGTAAATGAATTCTATTCCATGTAATTTTAAAACAAGCTTATGCTAATTGAAAATAAGCATATAGAGAGCAAGTGGTCCCGATTAGTATTTCGAAATATTTACGCACTATTTGTCCATATTTCATCATTTTTACGCGGCGGAAACAGGCTGCCACAGGCTTTAAACAAGAACGTTCTCGAAAGTTAATTCAACACTAAAAGTCTCGCTTTGGTTTTTTTAAAGATGTATACGCATTTATTTATCATTAGATAAGCTCCGCTGTCGTTTACTCCTGTTCGCTAAAAAAACTTCTAGTAAATATTATTTGTCAGGCGAACATGGCAGTTCATAAAAGATAGCGTCTGTTTATCTATGTCTGTTCCAGGGTACTAAAACAATGCAGCCTTGTTCAAGTAAAATCCTTCGTTGTGGACCTTGTGGAAAGACCTTTAATGGCGAAGCGCCTTATACTCAACATATGGTATCCCAGAAACACAGAAAAAAACTTGCCAATGACCCGATGTCACCGCCGCCGCAGGATCCTGTGAAGGTAATCTGAACCCTTTGCAAAAGACTTGTTCTAACTAAGAAAGATTTGAATGGATCATTTTTCCATGTAGTCGCGATTATTTCTGGCCTAACACTCACCGTCTGTTCTAAGTTATGCACACGAATTTTACATGAACATCCGGTAAGCATCTATTTATCTTATTTAGCAAATCTATTAATACTTCAGAAAGGGGCAATGTAAAAACTATCGGCTTATTACAGGTTCAACTGGTGAGTAAGTCTAGACACGTCCAGTAAGTTAATTTTTCCTAGCACAAATTTTTATCAGATCAATGCGTCGATGGCGCTGTTCGCGTAAGACCGAAAATCATTTTCACTAGGCGGGTAGACATTATAATTACTATTGACTATAGATGGCAATATCGTATTATAGACCTATGTAAATTGGCTTTATGTGCATTTCGCTCTAAGGCAGTGAAAGACAAAGTAATGTCTAGCATCCGGCCTATTTACAGCAAAGAAAACTGACAACACATTTAACCGTTTAAGTTAGTCAAAAGTACATGGCACCAGCTTCAATTTAAGACGACGCATAAGAAAATCTTTGTGATAACTACCAAGACACGTAAAATGATCGAGCTCACGCAGTTGCCAAAAACATAGAAAATACGACGAGAATCGGGTGATATCCGATCGATCCGTTCCGAGGATCGATCCCTGCAGTGTTGCAAAAATAAACATATGAATTTCCATCAAGCTGTCTGAACTTTTCCTATCCCCTGTTCTCTGTTCGATTTGTTATTATTGACAGGTGCAGAAAATCCTCAATAAGGCTAATATTTATTCTATACCGCAGTTGTCGGTTGCCGGTAGTAGTGGACCGGCACCTAACTGCCATTTGTCTAAGGAAAACTTTACGAATGAGGATGACAACATGGACCACTCCTTGAACGCCGAGCATCATCAGAACTGTGTGAAGCAGGAGGCGGCGGCGGCGGCGGCGTCATCAACATCATCATCAAAATCTACGAGTTTAATGTAAATTATAGTCATCAGCACGTTAATACCGCCAAGTTGTAGAGAAATTGGGGACTAGCTTGCATAGCTAATGCTTAATGAAGTGGCTAGTAGAATACTAGTATACAAGTATTTTTCGTTCGAGATTTTCTATACTAACCCAGAGAATAAATGGCAACGACTGGAGGAAGAACTTCATTTTCTTTAACGTGTGTCGGAGTTGTTCGGAGCTGACGACGAGTATTTTGAAGCGCGCCAATTTTTGAGCTTGGAAACTATAGTTAATACCGCTTCGTCTATTATGAGTAACTATTTTTATAGTAATTTACTTGAAGTGTTTTTTGATTGCAGAGACCAGACCCTCAAGCTAACCAATCTAAACAGCGAAGCGGACCTTCTCGAACGTATTTTGCAGCATCACCAAAGGACTTTCCTGCTGTGTTCCGCAGACGAGCCCTTCGCGGAATTCATCCAAAGGCACAAAGTTTTCGAAACGCAGACATAAGCAAAAAATGACGTACATTCCAGTGTATTATGTGAAAAAGTGTTTCAGTATATTGGGAGGTCCACGATCTTGCTTCGGGTATTAAGACTTTCAGTCGGTTTTTGCTTGAATACATGATTATACTAGAAAAAAAATGTATCAGTAAAGGTGATTCTTGGGTGCCTAGATCAAATTGGTATGCAAGTGAGACGTGACACCCTTATTTATTGTTGTATTTACGTGGCAACGTGGAAAATATTGAATCTGAAATTTCACGGTCGGATGAAGCGCAGAAGCTTCGTCTGAACTACATCGTGCCGTAGCAGATCAAACTTATTCACCGGACTGCGATCGCCCGGGACAAAAGAGTACGGTAAGATTGTCCCAGAAGTAGTTCATTGGGTTGAGCTGATGACTAATATAAGTAATTTATTTTAGATAGTACGCAGCGCAATCTGTATTGACAGCTGAAAACAGTATTAGGAATTCTCTGTGAAACAGAAGTAATGATACTTATAAGAAGAAAGATGTGTTTGGAAGTATGGAAATTTCGAATTCTTAAAACGTACCCTTACCACTTATATTTGTGAAGGTAATGTAGTTTCAATTACTTTGTTGAAAATTCATATGAAAAGAAATATTTTTGAAGAAGTAGAGAGCCTAATTTAAAAATTCAGTTGACCTCGTGAAAGTCAGACTGATACAAGTACTCCTTCGTTACTATATTAATATTAGCATCAATATGGAGGGCCGAGTACAAATCACGTACGAGCTAGTATATAGCAGGGATACTGGTGAGTAGTATAGACACAATAGCCGATCGAATGTGTCAGTCAATTATTGAGTCATTTCTTATAGAGAAATACACAATGTGTGATCATTACATTTTCTCATGTCTTCTATTATAATCTGATCGTCTACGCTGGCTATTTAATTGTTGGCTAAACAAATAAACGACTGGCGATAGAAGTCCTGTTATTGATTATGCGTATCGTTTCATCGTAGATTATGGTTTCGTCGTTTCAAAGCATAGCGGACATCCATCAGGTCTTTCTTGAAAGACGTCACTAGGAGTGCAACATTTATCAAAATAGCACTTATCGAAATTGCAGAATTGACTCCAGGTGTCACCGGTCAAATCGCACAGCTTTTGGCGGAACTGCGGTTCTGCTTGGAGACATCGCTCACAGGCAGCCCTTGATGCGGTCAACATATACGTGTCGCATGGCGAACGTACTACCGAGGAATCCTCGACATGAGGAATTGCTGTAACATATCGACACAGATTTGAAATCGTTAAATAATGTGGATTGACGTGACAGGGAGAAATAAAAGACAAACATGATATAAATTCTGTTCGCTCTCAACAGGAAGTGAGAAATTACTTTTGAGTCCGTGGATTATACGTGCACTGGAGTCAACACAGCACATATTAAGCACGCCATCCTATCGTTTATTGCAGTTCCATTGCGCATTTTTTACAGGCATGCATATAGTCATCATGACTGTCAAAAAATGTACGATTATCAAACCTTTAAAAGAGCGTAGAATTACTAAGAAATCGCAATCAACAAGCTAGAGGCGAAGTGTGGTTCCGATAACTGGTTACGTCCAAATTATGCACCTACGATAGTTCTTATGATTACACAAAAAAAAACTGCATGCACGTAAACGCTTTTCCCTACCTGATAGTAACATTAGAGATTTGTCTGAATTGAAAATCTCCTTTGTGACCCGCTGTGAAAAACGGAAGCTGACAGATAACTATAGTATGACACGGACGAAAGAAAATAAGTTTGTATTGAGACACTATATAAAGAGAACTTACACGATTTACGGTTCGAGTTTACCGTCCGTGAATAGGCTACGACAAACTGAAGAGCGGCTAATGTACAGAATACAGTTTTTAATGATCTCTGTTGTAGCAACATGACGGCGTTTGTCAGTTATCGTGCCGTCCAGACCGTTTCAACCAGCAGTTGGCTAACGGGCTGCGAGAAAAAAATGTCCCTAGACAAGACTAGCGCAATGCGACGCTTTCTTAAAATGAAAACAGAACATGGCTAGGAGATGGGAGAACGAAGATAACCGATCTCTTTGTTTATCGCAGAAGGTCATATAAGCACAATGCTTAGTGAGGGGCCTCAGGAATTACCGTGTATAAATACAAATATTGCATGCTTTGGCGCAAAAAAAGATTAAATCAAATGGAAATATAGTAGGTTTAGGTTATTTTATCTGTTATTATCCAATTATTACGCCTATCTTCTGGCGTTTACGCCTGTGATCTTTGTCTAATTACACGGTGTCACAGTGGACCCTTGCCCATCAGATGGCCGAATGGTGACAAATAATAGAGAAAATTACGTAATGTTTTACGTCTGTTTGAAAATGATGGTGGGATTTGACTCTGAGCAAGACTGATGCACGTGTATATCTTAAAATTTATGAAACTGTACGAGCTAAAATTTATCGATAAGGTAAGAAGTCCCACTGCGGTACGTTCGAGCCTTACATATATTGTAAAGGTAAAACGCGTAGATTTTCGTTAGTTGGACAGAAAATTTAGTTATGCTTATACGTATATCTAGACTCATAATGATTTTTTTAGAAGCAGCATACCTTTGAAGTGCCAAAAAGAAATTTTTCTCTCCTATTTATAGATCGAACAGTGAAAGTAAGTTTATATAAGAAAAAAAAATAAGATCAATTTACATTTCTGGATAAACTACAAGCTTCTGTCGGGCCGAAATCGTATCGGTAAACGTATCACATTTGTGGCTGTTCACCTACATCTACCATATTCTGCACTCTCGGCACGGTACACTACCGTGCTTCGAATTAGCTAGCATGTCTAAGCTCACCCAAGTTTAACACATGGATTGTTGGACTGTTCACATCTCGATTATATGCTGAAATTTTATTTATTTTTAAATAGCTAAACGTACAGAGTGACAGCTGTAACTAGTCGCTTAACATAAAACCATTTTCTTCTGTTTATTGCTGCTATAATTAATGAAAACAGAGCCTGCACAGTACTAGACAGCGTTTGTTTTTCCCCTAGTCAGATATTACATAGTATATCGAGTTAGAATAGGTTTGCTAACTATAGTAGTATTCCTACCTACTATGCAAAGCTTATTTATTCACAACTTCTCGCGGCAGAGTCAGTGATGCTTGATCGTAGATCGAATCCAATATCTCGAGATTTTAATGTGATACCAAACACATTTCGTGAGGTTCCTAGCACTCACTAGTTACGAGCTATCCATTGCGACACTGTGGACTAGAGTGAACTCACGCATGTTGCTTATACGTATATAAAAGTGTCATAGAATTCATAGCATATTAAATTAAACTGCACAGGTAAGTGCCCCTAGATCGTTTAACGATATAATCACATGTTAAACGGATTGAACCTTGGACGAGTCTTTATTCTGCATCTAACTTAGGAACGACAGCGTTTACTTTATAAAAAGGCGTGCTTCTTTGAACACTAGGTCGGTATAGTTTGTTAGTTTATTCGGTGGGTAGATCGATATTGATTGAACGAACTTATGGAATTTCCACAATTCTGTTATTTTATTTTAAAAAAGTTCCACTTCCTATTAATCAGTGTCTGGTCCACTATAGATTCTATAGAAGATCATCAGAAAAGGGACTAAACACACAATTTTACTTTATTGTAGCATATAGAAGTGGACTCGAATGTGATTCACCAAATCTTATGCACTTGATTTTACAGTTCTCATCACTCGGTCACTTCGCCAGAGTTCTAAACTCATCGCTGTTATGGTCTCAAAGTAGATGATTTTCATAAAATCATCATTCACATTTTGCATTATTATTTTCCTGAAAAGCGCACAACGTGAAATTTGTCTCAAGTAGCGGACTGCGGTTCAACTGTCGTCGTAGTCGAGGTTAGAGTTGGGGAGTTCGGCGGCTGTAATGGCGGTTCCTGTTTGGCGTTTATTCCGGCGGTGCACTGCAGCATTGTTAAACGCTGGCCCATGGTGGCAGCGCACGAATGGCGTGCAGACGAACTGTTATGTAGACAAACAGTGGAACTCTGTAGGACCAGACCAGTGATGATGGTTGCTGTGCCGGCTGCGCCTCGACAAACCTGAGCGGGCGATCCCTGCCCTGATACCTGCGACGTGTGCTGCGCGGATCGTTGAGTCGGTGGCGCCAACGAAGGCGCAGGTGCGACTGGCGTTGAGGATGAGATCGTCGGGGAGCCTGTAGCTGGATAATAAGCTACGGAGCCGCCACCGCCGGAACTAACCCCCGTACCGGTGCTACCTTGGATCGTGGCTGCGCCGAAGTTTGCCGAAGAGTCCACCGGGGGCGTGCTTGTCAAGGTGTGGACCGCCTACCAAAATAAGGAAGAGGATGAATATGATTAAAAATATAATAGTAATACCACCGTTGAGACGCTTATACTAAATCGACTTACTAACTTCTGGTTTTATCGAACTGTTCCGCTTGTTTGTATCGTAATCACCTTGTAAAGATGCATTTGAAGTTTCATTCTTGTATAATATTGCTGTGAATGATTAGAGATAATAAATAGGGTTTCTGGAAAGCGTTAGCCCAGTGAGCATTTTTTCTGCAATTTTTTATCAGTTTGTAGTGTTTGCAAAGGTAATATGTAATATTTGCGTAGAAGCTTTTTATTTCTAATTTTTTTTTTATCACTGGTATGTTTAGATAACAGGTAGTTCAAATACTTCAAAAAAGATTTTTTTTTTTGCGTTATTATCTAGTCTTCCACTTTTTTTTTAGAGCGAAATAGAAGAAAGTTAGCAGCTCTGGGAACTTGAACCATTGTCATAACCTTGTCAAAGTTACCAGATCTGGCACGATTACTACTGCGATGTATCTATAGTTATTATGAATAGGGATACATGAATTTCCCATTTCGCATAAACGAAGCTCGTTTGATGGGGCTTGGAGTGTTCCATCATTTCTAAGAATACGTTTAACGAAATTTTTGACTACCTGTTTAAGGATGATACTTTACCGTCTAACGTCGTACTCGAATATATCAACATCAACGACGTACTGAGCCTGCCACTAAATTGTGATACACGGGAGCTAGTTTTCGTCTCCGGGTTGTTTACAGATCATCGAGTACCCAGTTATTGAAATTTTAAAGAAAAATAGATGTGCAATAAAATAATCCAATCTGTAAACGAACTCAAGAATAAAAAAATAATCGAAATTAAACCTGCCGCGGGTAATACTAACAATAATAACCGTTATTAGACTAATATTTTTTTTATTTTACATTTTTACTCCAACGAATACAATGGCAACAATGGATAACGGCTTGATGTAATACAGATTTATATACTCACTCTAATTTATTATGTGGGTACTGTAATTAACATCTCGGAGTATGTGTGTCTCTTTGAAATATACGTATGTTGATTTTCCTACTAGCATTTTTTAAATGTAGCGTTTTTAGCAGCCTCAATTCCGCTAAACACATGAAACAGAGTACGCGTAATATAGGGGCCGATTAGTTTGATGGACTCTGGTCACAACCAGTGTGAGAGGACTTGGAGCAGTGTTTCAAAATTAACCAATCTAACCTTTTTCGCGACGCGTTCATTTGCCCGTGTGGTCTCACGCTTTGAACTTCTAATAATAAATAGGTCAGCTCAACATTATGAGTCTCCAGGACAGCTCCTGCATGCCCCTATGTAAGGACTTCTCTCTTTAAGCTTAAACAAGTGAAAGATCCAACGCAAAGGCTAAATTTCCTTCGAGTCAAAACGTATATGCTAGTAATAGATTTTGTACTTATTTTGAGAGGAATGAGATGGCTTTTAGTGATGCAGATATACTAACATCGTTTATGGTGTAGCCATACAAGAATCAACGATACATTTATTTCGTCTATCGTATGAGCTAAGTGTGAAGGGCTCTTACCCACCTGGGTCGTAGGTTCACTTGAGGCCGTAGCCTGCAGTGGTTGCTGCTGCCGGCTCAAGCCGAGGCTGTTGTCCTGGTATTCGAGGATGCTCATCAGTAGCCGAATATAGCGAATGGCGAGACGCAGTATCTCGTTCTTGGAGAGCTTCTTGTCAGCGGGATGCGTCGGGACAAGCCGGCGCAATTCGGCAAAGGCTCCGTTCACGTTCTGTTGACGCCAACGCTCGCGGCTGTTGGTGAACATCCTCTTGCTGGGTGCCGATGGCCGTCTTGTGTGGACTCCCACGGGCGCTGGTCCAGGACCTCCGAGACTGTTGTTAAGGCCTCCAAGTCTTGGTGGGGTCCTCGGCCGAAGCGGAGGTGGCCTTGAAAGGGTGTACGACAGCGGAGACCGCCTGTGGCGAAGAAGAGCTGTCTTGTTAAACTGGCAATGGCTTTCCACCAAATTATAAATAGAGTATCCAAAAACAAGCCGAATGTTTTATGTAACGTTATGTTCTCTTGTTTGAAAATCAGGCGGCACGAGTTTTATCTAAAGGTTTTTAATAGATGTTTCGATATTCTATAAGTTGCGTCTCTGTGTGTGGATTCGACTGCATCCATAGCTAACAAGACATATTTTAGCTCTAGGGGAAACTTAAAGGCGTTTACTGCATAGAGTTATCTTACGGTACAATGCTGAAACAAGTAGTTGATCACTTAACGTTCCGCCTTAGAGCGTTTTACAACAAAAAAAGACTGAAGCAAACGTACTGCGCAAACATCATAGTTAAGGCCAGCGTAGTTGAACGGGAGAGTTGCCGTCATCGGTGTGAAATCTTATAAATTAGAAATTATGTTTCTATTCACTTTAACACTTCAAGCTTACCGAACGTGGTCTGTTGACTATGAAATTTCAAAGATACTTCAAGCTTCCCGAAAATATCCTTTCTGTTCTTCTACGGTATATGTGCTGCTAGATATCGATGCTCCTGATAACTTATGTACACGTACTTGACTCGTACTCATGACCACATGACAAGTTTAGGAGTCGTGGGTGCAGGAACAAGCTTTGGAGGTCAGCTGTAACTACACTGAAGTCGTCAATAGGTCGCACAGTATTTTCTCGTAACGTGATTAAGGGAACCCCATAAAACAAGACAATGACTCTCTTTTCTACTGTAGATTGGCCTCTTCCTATCGATTCCGCTATAAAGGACCAACAAAGAGATTTTAACTAGGTTGAACATACGACATCCAACTTCTTTCCGGATAATCGATAACAAAAAACGGTCCCAGAGAGAACGTATTCGACCTAAGAGTTTTGATTATTTATAAGCCAAAAGTGAAACAATTATTTTTCTTTTTTAAATAGTTTTAAAGAATATTACTATACGAAATATATGCCATTTTGATCGATGTTTTCTGCAATTTTCGTAATAGCATCACAATTCCATCAGTCCAACTTCTGTAATTTCTAGGTTAAAAAAAAATCAGAAGAATTCGTTCTACCATATCTCTGGGAAAAATAAATAAATTCCATTAAGAAAGTTCTGATTCCATTAAGCGGTTCAGCTTTATGGCAAATGTATTGAAGTTTCCATTTAATTTTTCTCATTTTACTAGGCTGCTGAACATTTGTGTAGTTTGGCATTGTTATGGCGGAAGATGAAGCCCCTCCTGTGCACTGATTCCGGTCTACTTTTTTAGTAGCTTGTCGTAATCGCGTTAGTTATTGACAGTATAAATCATCATTTTTCCAAGTGGCAACAGCTCATAATGCACGATTTCTTTCTAGTTTTACTAAATATAAATTAGTATCACGTGTTTTGGCTTCGGTCCGATGGAACTGTTTTTAAGTTATTGTTCCGACAACTCATCTGGAACATAAACAGCACCTATTTTTTTTTATGGACCTGGCCATCGTTTGCGCCTTGACCAAAATGAACTTCTAAAATAGAGCTAATTTTTGTAGAAATTTTATTCAAATTGAAAGCGTTTTACCTCATTTCTAAATAAAAGCATGCTAATAATTTGAATACATCTATTAGCGTCAAATTTCAGCTTTCAAATGATACCAACGCGACTCGTATTACCTGGGATATGTAACTTCAAAGCCGTAGCTAGAAAAGCCGTCATCTGCTCTTTGAGCGCCCTGTATAAATATATATAGAGCTGGTCTCTACTTACCTTGCCTAAATATAGTTCACTTGTTAAAATGGCTTTTTCTCATCTGGAAATTAATTTGATTGTACAAGTGCAACCTAGTTTTTCACCCTACATACACGTTCATGTGCTCGGTCGCCCCATACGCTCGCAAATCCGTCAATACGGCCGTTCTCCAAGGTGAGTGCGGTTTTGTGGGGTTGTCGCGTGTTCGAAACATGCTTTCTTGTTCACTCTAGCGAGTATGTACTACTACATTTAATTCATTCGCTTTTTCTCAGTTGGTTGAACGATAGCCCGAGTCGTGCAAGAAGCAATGTTTGCTTTTCAACATTGTTACGAGGCCATAGAGGCCGTCGTCATGGATAACGCCGCTACTCTCAGTGCCGGGATGTCGAGGTATATTTCGCACGCTTCAGCATCTGCCATGTAAGTACTGCTGTAGCCCATTGGCAAACGAGCAGCTACCTACACAGTTGTTGGAGGCACCCCGCCCCTCCTTTGCCGCGATGCTTCACGTGATCGTCTTCGCGATAAACGTTACGCTAAGCGAGGCTTTTGACGCGGTTATCCTATGAGCTTGATGCAGTACTGTACGATAAGTCACCAAAATCATGGTCAATCCAAGCACTCAGCCTCTCGCGTCGAAATGTCCGACCTCTTTGGTGGCTAAAGCAACGCTCACTTCACACCGGTCGGTTCAGTCTTTTTCTTTACGCGGCCTCGCCGACGGTCCGACACGTCTCTAGAGCGACTGGCCAGGTCGGAACAAGGGTGAAGCACTGAGAAGCAAATCGCGCGGTTGACCTATCACATGTTTAGGATATATTTAATTCGATATAGCAGATCCCAGCTCTCTCTCTCTCTCTCTCTCTCTCAAAAGGCGCATTCCCGGAATCATAACACACTTATTAGAATCTATCTAGTGTTGAAGGTGCCTTTTCATAGAACTCACCTTTCATGTAACTACACATTTAGAAAGGTATTTATAATTTAAAAAAGTCGTGAAAAGAGAAACTAGGTTTACTTAAAATCCTTCTAACGCCTTAGAGCAAAAAAACTAAACGATGTTGTTCTGAAGCGTCTTCTATGGATGTTCTTTGTGCGATTCGAAATTTTCTAATACTATATATATATATATATATATATATATATATATATATATATATGTGTTTTTCTACCGTTCATCAATGTTCGACATCGTCGAAGATAATCTGCCGGTCGCAATCGAGAGGAATTTTCCACCTTTTCAAACACTGCAGATTATTCGGATTTCTGGACAACAATATTCCTGAGATTTTAAAGAGAGTTCTCAAGGGTTCCTAGTATTTTAGAAATTCCTGGGTGCTCTTGGAGGCAACGCTTCAAGGACGCTGCTCACCTAAAAGACGATGACAAGGGGCAGTAAAAACAAACCTCCTTGAAAGTAGTACGGCGACCATATCGATGGTAGCTGAATCAGTGCTCACAGTCCTAACGTTACACATGTATCAATGTTTATCATTGTTATTCTTATTATTATTAGTATTATTTGCTTGACTTGATTTTAGAACCGTTATATGGGCATATATTTGGCTTCGGTGTATGCGCGCAAGCTTAAGATCACTTCAATTTGGTAATTTTGCGTACGAGATTGAGTAGAACATTTTAATTAAAGGCTGCAATAACTACCAGTTACCTCTGGCAAAGTGCAGTACTCTGCAGTCTTTGAAACCTCAGGGCAATTCCTGTCAGAATCCAATAGTTTTCCCCTGTGAAAAATCGGATAGAACAAGCATAATTCGCATATTGTTCTAAAATCACTATATAACTTTATAGGACACTATAAAACTTTATAGGACAAATACAGGCTTATGGTAGCGTTGGAAGGGAGCGACGACGTCTTCAGCAAAGTAAGAGAGAACGGCCTTTCGGAAGATGGCAGACCTGCTGATACTGTAATTCGCATAGCTAAACATGCACAGTATCGTTTCCACTGTTTGAGTTAACGCATGACGCTCCAATTAATGCAAAACAGTCAACAATGGTTTGCCAGAAACACTTCGATGATGCAGAGATTGAATTATAGATTTAGAAGGCACACGTTGAAAGGATGAGCGCTGTCTGGGGACCGATTATCATGCGACACTCGTCGTTCACCTTCAAAATTGAAATATTGTTTTTTTTTTCTTCTGATTTACTTTAAAAAATCGATGCCGCGATCAACCTTTCCGTTCTAGAGGCAATGTAATGCACGAGATTTGATACAAAAGAGCTATCTTCTTGAGAATATTGATATACATTTTGAACCCCTTGAATTTCGTATACGCTAATAAAATGAATTACTACAGTTAAATAACTTTACATATAATTAAATAACTCTATTCCATCCGTATGGCTTAGTGTTTAAAAATAAAAAAGCAAATAAAGATATACTGTATTATTCGAAATTATTCCTATTTACGTGATGGTTAAAATCGTCTCATCACAGATTACTGGTGTTAGCGTCCGGGCATAAGTAAGTGTTGCGCGTTTGATATTTTACTTACGTTCTTTTTAACTGCCTTTAAATTAATGGCGTTAATCTTTCAGAATCACAAGACTAATTTGCATAATCAGTTTGGACTGATACGCCCATGTCAACGAAAAGATGCTAGGCGCTACTTGGGGGTGTAAGTTTTAACTACGAAATGAAGTAATACAAATCCAATGGCAGTATTCACATTTCATTTGGGGTTTAGGTTTGTCTTCACACGCAGAAGGAGGCAGAGACTCTGCCACTAATATAAAGCCGATGATAACCGAGGCTGGAGAAACAGTTATGCCCTAACTAGATAAAAGCTACATATAGAGGGCATTATCTCACCTGCTTCGTATGTAGTTTGATTGTTCGACGAGGGTGTTCGTATTGCCCGAATCCTGTGGTCCTGAGGAAGGGGTTGGCGTCGTTCCTTCGTCTCCGCTGAGGCAATAATTAGAACTTGATTCGGAGAAACCTTTTTCCGATTCCGAATCGGACATATCGTCTTTCGACATGATCAAGCGGGGTGACTTGGAGCTAATTCACTGAAGTTACTTAGCACGCGCTCATAGATACACACACACACAATGCACAAACTCGCAGCAGGGGCAAGTCGCGCTTTTTATATCAAACCAGTCCAGCACTCGATAAAGCTTCTTCGGCAGTTAGGATTTCATATTCATCGAGAGCTGTTCAAGGCATGGAGAAAACGATCTAACCTGACGCATAAGCACAAGTCTACCGAAACAATCTGAGCCTCACTTAAGAATATCTCTTTGCCGATTCCTAATTTACAGCCCAACGATGATTTCAATCATTTCATTTGTACCCAAGCGCTACCAGGCGTTAAATTAAATCGTTCCTCGTTCGAGTCTCATAATCCTTTGGCATCACACAATAGTTTGTCTAAATTCGCTGATCATTTATATATTCTTTTCACTACGACCATGGCAAAATCGTCGCAAGTTTGCTAAAACTATATCACAGCCAGTTTTCTTCCAACAGAAAAGAAACCGGAGCCTCCATGAGTGGGAAATTTGTTTTGGTGTATGCTCCTCAGAGCATTCCGTTGCCAACTAAAGTTCCTTCAGAATATTATAGAAATAATACGACTGCTTGGGCTAGTACTAGACATGGACGGACACTCTGGAAAGCTGACGGCCTCCGACTGTGTTGACTCCGATATAGCTTCAGGCTCCGCCCACTCGATCGGACGACTCCGCCTCCTGGATTTCCCTGAGTGTTCCCACATTACGACGAACACTATAGCTTATGAGGGTTATGTGTGCGTCTACTTTGTTTGTGTGGACTCTTCCACGGTAAGCGTAAGTTGTTCCCGTTGGCTCGGGGCAGGCCCGAGTTGTCCTTATCAGCTTCGAACACTCGCTGTAGTGGGTGCTTGGTTTGGCTTGGGCGGAATGTCAAAGTCTCCGGTGCTGCTATATAGAGCCTGTGGAAAGCGCAGGGTTAGCATCAGCCAGTGAAGAGAACGACGCACATCCTCATACCCCCTCTAACCAAGAGAGCGTACGGAAAGGAATCTCGCTGGGGCTAATCGACCCATTTCGCTGAACACTGAACTACGCTAGCTATATTATGCAATAAGATAGGAAATGATCTGTCAATTTTTTCGAAAGTGAAAAAATGGGCCGTTGTGGGTTACAAATACTGGGCTTATTGCAATTTGTTCAGTTCGAATCAGGCACAACACAGGACTTTATGGCGTTGTTTATCTTACTTTTTTTATTTCAAATTTTTACTTCTCCCCATAGTGGTTTTATTTTATCATAGAAATCCCCTCTCTAAAAGACGTTATCGTTTGAAAATTTAGCTTTAGACGCTGAAATCAAAACGTAATAACTTAGAATTTTCTTTTTTCACGTTTAACAGATATCTTCGTGTTTACATAATCGAATACCAGATGTGGTATTTTTTCTGCCGTGTTTGTCGTTATTTGATCATTCATTTGTGAACTGAACCCAGTTAATGATGGTTGCGTGCTTCTGTATCTGTGACTTGCCATAACAATGTGTCGTGGCATTACGTCTAGCGTGAATAGATACTGACATCGGTCGCATAACGTATTTCGTATTGCCGTCCCATTGTTGTAGCCAAGGGGACGCTAAGAAATTTACCTGATTTGGTAGTCATCAACGATTTATGTTTTAATTTAGAATATGAAACGTTGGCCTCGAAACGTCTAATCATCATCGATCTCTTTACATAATGCAGCATATATACAAGGAGCAACATAAACTTCTACGTTTTTCTTTCGATTGTACATTTTGTTCCTAGACATCGTTTTCCCCCATTTATTTTATAATAATTCGGGACATAGAAGAGCCTTAGCCACAGAATATTGCGGAGTTTGTAACTGGATAGTCAGTAATCGGATTATACCTAGGTAAACACTACACTTGCTCGAGTTACCAGAGCTAACCTGAATACCGAATACTGAAAAAACACAAAGTACGGAACTGCACCGAATAACGGCCTCCTGATCTCTGCCCATTTCATAAAACACTACTCGATTCTACTAACAATCTTTGTACAGTTGGGCTTCTCTGCCATATACCGATATACATCAAGCCCACCATGCAATACGAATTGGATCGTATTTAAATTCTATACTGATCAACAAACACTATAAGAAAGCCGTACACATATTACAAACATGTGCATGGCTAGAAAATATGTTGTTATTTCATGTTTTTAATTCAATTCGAATACATGTTTATACCTTAGTATTTACATGAACCAAACGAAAATGTAGCTATGCATAATAGCAAAACCTATATTTCTAATGCAACTCTCCTTCATCATTAAAACCGTCCTGAGGAAGCAGCACGCCGTGCGAATACTTTTTCCAATACGTGCTGTTATTACCGTCCTACACAAGGTCTAGATATTTTATACTATCCACTACTAACTATTATCCCTAGCAGGGCACCGATCACCGATATTTAACACTGTAGCCGGCCGACTCTAGCTTCTAACGACACCCTCTGGTCAGCCCTCGATACCTCCGCACTTACCCCTTAATTCCGCGAGCAAAAATCAATTGGAGTTGTTCTTTATCATCGCTTTCAGCATCTTTTTTTCTTGCTACTTGTTGGCAATCAAATTAGCAACTGTTAATGTGTGCGTCGCTAAGGCCAAGGCAGATTTCACTCTATGTTGGCACTACTCGCAATCCACTGTTCATAGCTTGTATCTATGTTTGCTTAAGAGGGAAGGACGAGTGCTCAGCACGCTAACCTCGTCGCGCGTTACTTGCGCATCAAGGCGTAATTCACATTTTCACTATGAAGAAGACAAACAACAGACACGCGAACCAAATAGGGTTAGCACAGGGTGGGTTATAGCCCTCACTGCCCGTATCGCTAGTCCTAACAGAATGTGATCGAGTTAATGTGGCGTAAATAGGCTTACTCACGAACGGACCGACTCTTAAAAAAGAGCTTTTTTCACATAGGAGCACGTGTCATACGAGTAGGAAATCGTTAACAGGACCAAAGAGGCTGGCAGCCGGTGGAGGTTGGAGGCGTCCAGCCAGAGTCCCATACGCTAGTATAGCGAAACGCAGCGATTTGGGAAATTTATTTCTTGTACAACTAATCGTGGTAGGTGATGATATTCAGTTGCCCTCATTACGTCTACGAAACATATATTGCCTCTATTATGCTTGTACATGGTAGGAGAGTGAGAAGCCTAGCAGTGTTTCTAGAGAATAGTAACTCTCTTACCATGTTTTACCGTTATTCTGGGGACAAGAGCTTTACGTAAAATATAGCACTATGTAATCGAAGATGACAATTAAATCTTTCCGCTCCATGCGCTGACGTATTCATATATCGATTGTGGTGCTGTGATTACGCGTTTGTCTACTGAGTTTAGATAGTCGTCAAATAGTCTAGGTTCACAGTCAGGCCTACACACAATTTTTCTTGCTGCGAGCCAGCCCTCTGAGGCAATGCTTAAAAGCAGTAACAGATGTAACTTTTCACACGTTTAAGGTCGGCTTAAGCCGATACGGTTTTTCGCATCTTTGAATTTTTTTAGGCCTGTGGCACTCGTTAGGTTATGCGATAAACTCCTGTTTTTAATGTTTATGTTAGTGTTATCCAAATTACCAGACCTAATGGGGTTAATTATTCTGAGAATTTTGCCAGAGTGACTATGCTGTTTCCAGTTGTACTACAAGGATACGTTGTCCCGTTTAGCACTTGGGGGTTACACCAAAAGCGATTTTGGTGGAACGTCATTTATTCTTGATGACACTGTCATTTTGCAAATGAGTAGATCTGCAAATACGAAAATTTGTAAACTTTTGATACTGCAACTAGAGAGCCTAGTGTTGTTGAGCATCTGGCTAATCCCGTAAGCGACAAAAGGCGTCATGGTCACCTCTTTTTTTCAAGGAAAACCTTGGACGACGACAGCGTAAAATGTATTGAAAAAACATGCACTTAGAAGCACTGTTTCGGTCTTTCAATTTTGGAATGATTGAAAATTGAAATCATACATAGAAATCAAGGGGAGTTTAGCAATTCAGCTTCAAGAAACATTAAAACCTCGACTATATAGATATTAATTAGTAGTCAGATCATAGAAAGCTTTCTATACGTAAGTTATATTCTAAAAAATAGGCAAACATAATTACGATCATTAAAGGGATATTACCTGTTTGATGGAGAAAATGTTAAAAGTTCATAATAGACCAGTCATACTTACAACGATATGATGACGTACATTCTGCAGTTGCCTGCCGTGATCGTCCACGTAACAACGATCTTAAATGCCAATCATTTTTCACAAGCAATCTGTATCTCATGATCAGGTGCTATCCAGCTCCCCTACACCTCCTATGCAACCATGCTGTCAATCATCTGGTCCTGCTCCATTATGAAACCTTTGCCATTTCGACTAACGATGAAATATGATTGATACCTTTTATTGATCTTGATACCGACAGACAGACAGACAGTGCGAGTTCCAAGCCGGCTCAGAGGCGACGTTTAGTCTTTAGATAAGAGAATCATGTCGATCCTCATGATCTCGAATCAAGGCGTTCCGAAATATCTATTCTTTCTGAACCCGTATACTTGCTTTAAATTATCAACAAGCTAAGCGCACATTTTTCTTTTCGAGTGCGGATAAAATTCAAAGAGTATTTTTTCCTGTCGCAGACATTTCCTGCCTATGTGTCTGGAAAATGACAGGTCTCTCGGCTTCTGTGAATGTCCTATTTTCCAATCAGTATGCCGATATCACCACGAAACACACAACTCTGCAAGATGAATTATGGAAGATCCTGGTAGCCAACCTATATGTTAGACTTATGGAAATTACTAAAGGCTGTTTTTTCTGTCTCAGATCTCGAATAAATTTATTTTTATTATATTTGCAACATGATTTGGTGAACTTATATTTTGAAGGGGGACCGAAAAATGTATAGGTTAGTTAGACTAAGTGTTTCCATTCTTTATTGCAGGCGAAACGTGCTAGATTCGATATTGAATGACCATAAGGCCTTGAAAAAAGTGTAAACACAATTTTTACTATTGTTTTCGTGTCTTTCACGAAGACTGACTGCAGGCGACGCACATGGCTTGTTTTTGTGGCCTATGTGGTTGTGTTATTATTTCTAATCCGAGAAAGCCTATCAAGGAGCCTGTTAAACACTATCTTGCAAGACGATTATTCGCATTTTCTAGAGCAGATTCATCGTCTGATTCTGCCGCGCGACTAGCCGACTGAGCTGCCGATTAACCACAGGACTACCGGCTAGTTAAGCCTGATTAAGGATTGAATAACATTGCTTACCGACAAGGATCTAGAGCTTAATGTGGGTGAACCCCCTGAACTGGAGGAGTAGTCAGTTTGATCTGCGCTCACTGAGTACCTTTGCTGCTAGATAAATGGGGAATGCTGCACATCGTGCGCAATCCCATCGATAAATCATCAGTATTTGGAAACGTCAAATTACGTTGCCGTTAAGTTAACTTATATATGTACTTTATAATTTATATTAAAAAGGAAAGTTCTAAATAGGGCGACTCTAGTTGACATCACAAGTCATAATGAATTATGAAGCTTAAAAACAGCTGCAAAAGAAAGGTAAATACAAACGGCACAGCTAGCAATTTCACATCATTGACTTTATGTTTTTAACCATTGTGAGAGTGCAGCTATTAAATCATTGAAGAAAAACTGGCAAAAACTATTATGAAGCACCAGCTCGTTCTCGATTGGGCCAATCTACATTTTCATCCCGTGAGTAACAGACATTCAATTGCTATCTACGGTAAATAACTGCAATGCAAAAGAGATCTTTGAAATATTGCATCGAAACACCATTGTAATGTAAAAGCGGCCGGCCAACAAACACCCGGCTAGCGCTTCTCTCACTCGGAAATAGAACTACGTGAACTTAGTAAGTTGGTGTCAATTATTTACACCCGGTTGTTCTCGATTAGTAGAAATGAAATAAGGACATTTCCCGGTCCTGTTTACAACACTTCATCCGTTTGTTCGTATCCTTCGCTCATTCTCCTTCAAAGCTAGCGAACAATTCACCTACCTAGACTAGCCAATGTACACAGACTGGGTTCGCATTCAATACAATAGCAATGATCTCAGCCAAGTGATGGCCGTCCTCCAGGGAACCTTGGATATTACATATCTGACGCCTGTTCGCAGGTCTACTAGCCAGCCTATCGACAGACTAATTCCGTTGCGCTCGTGCGTCCTTTTCGTCTAGGCACATCACCTTCGAAGCGTCAAGCTAAAGTCAAACGGCGTGGCTGCTCTCGCAGCGATTGCAGCTGAGGCGTGCCACCGCTCTTTGAGAAAAGATTGCGCACTCTCCCGTGAAATCGTCCGCGCCCCAGCCGCCCCGCTTTGGCTTCTGTGCCTACCTAGTTCTCTCTGACTTTTCCTTTTTTGTCTCTGTTGCAAGCACTTTGGCATTGCAGCACGCGTGTGTACGAGGCTATAGCGAATCGTAAAAGGACGTGTAGAGCACTTTTTGAGCATTATTATTTCCTTGCGTTTGCCGCCCTGGCGGTACACTATGGCCAGTGCCGGAAATCAGAAAGTCAGTGTTTATCCGGGCTTGATTTTGTGCAGTTCCTATTAGTTCTTGGAGTGAGCAATCAACTTGTTGGAAACAGAATTACTAAACACGCAGTACCGGTATATCATGAGGTTCGGAAGAACCTTGTGGAATAGAGAATGCGACCTAGGTATAAGTTAAGCATGCAATAATTAAATAAACGACTCCTTACGAGCACGCCAGTACGGGTGCACAGGGGAAACAATCGACCTTAAGGGTACGTCAAATAAACGTGCCTTCCGCTAGATTGCTAATAGCAATCTACAATATATCTTATCGGTTACCTATTTGAAGAACAATCTTCAAATATTCATTAGGCTGGAAAAAGGCGTCGTCAGTAAGTACAACGCCGACACAAAACCTTACCTGAAATTTCAATTAGCTTGAGATTTCACAAAATCTTGCATAATTTTTCTCTTTCAGTGTCTTACAAATACTTTAAAAATTGCCATGTAACAATGCATGTTTCACATTGTGACCAGTCGTCCGGTTGAGCATTAATCTATCAGCATCAATAGCGACATGCTATTTATTTAACATGGATGTATCGCACTCGGAAACGCTATCAGTGTCTTTTTCATTCACCAGAACGTGTGAATGTTTACTTTATCCTCTCAGCTAAGCGAACAAATCAACCAACAGACCCTGCCCCCATCTTCGTTAGCTCCTCCGGTGAACAACGTCTCTCGTTGGTTTCTCATTGCTACGACCATAGTTGAAGATATATCTCTGCTCCGCTATGAGCTATACCTTTCTATCCATGTGTATTCAACGCTTTGCCAAAATCCAAGGATACGATGGGCTTGCGCGTTATCCAACTCCGCACTGTAACAATGAAGACTATATGGAGAGCGAGCGACCATCAGCTGCAAGATGGAGGGTGGACGTTCTACGCGCTAATCGGCTTAGGCCAAGAAAGAGGACTATGCCGAAAGATAGTCTTTGAGACAAGAGTGAGATACCAGCAGTGGCCGACAGCGGCAATAGAAATAGTACTAGTCGTAGTTGTTGAATTCTAGAGATTGGGCGGCAAACGGCGCGGGCGAGCAAGCCCTGCGAATAAATAGCCCTGAATCTTACCTTCGTTACTGCTGATTTGATAGTGACAAGTATCACCACACGATAGTCGCGGAATGGAGACGCAACTAAATGAATCAATAGCAGACGGAATGGGTTTTCAAGGATGGCCAAAGACAGAGAGAAAGATCAAGGGGAGGGGAGAGAAAAGGGGTTTGAGAAGTGCGTAACTGCATCGGGGTACTATTAGGTATCTGACTAAAGAAGATCTTTGTTTGTTAAGCAGACGCGTGAGTAAGTTTAGGCGCGCGACTCCGAGAGTTTTACCGCGATTGCGTGCGTCGATATCAAGGAAACTCGAATCATCTGCCTTCAGCTCTTACAAAAATGTCCCATGGGAACGCGATTCGTGAGAATATTGGCCTTTCTTCAATGCTATGTTAAAGTTCTTCAATCTTGAGTTAAATTACTACTAGATATGTATTTGTACTAAATTTAGCTTCACTTTGAAGCGCCATAGAGAATATTGCTTTTTATGTGTTGAAGGCAGGAGCGGTGCGTTCTGATGAGGGCGCTCATCACGCCCTCGGGAAGAAAGACGAAGACAACTTACCGTGTTCAGTAATGGAACGCTTTCCAAAAAAAAACGTTTCCATTATGGATATGAAATATTGTGCCATGGGCTGAAATTATAAAGACTAACTCAACATTATTTATTTGTCAACTAAAAAAAGGTAAATAAAAGGAAAAATTCGAAAATAGAATGACCGTTTTCAATATTCTCATTCAAATCAGTCAGTTTATTCACAAACCACTTAGTCGCCTTATGTAGCACTTTATTTAAAAGGACAAAATAATTCGCTCGAGCTCATGGGGTCATCAGGTCCCACTGTTTCTTTCGAATTTGTTTAGAATTTAACTTCGAGAACTTTAAAAGATATTCATCAGTCACTGGCAGATCTTATCATTGCTGCATCTAATAGAATAAAATAAGTGTCAACTTGATAATGAACAATACGAATTACACAAAAATAAGTTCTGTGTGACTTTGCTCTTCTACGCGCATGTGCTTACAGCGTAGTACGTATGGGCTTCGGAAACCTTTCACTTAAACATCATTGTGTTAGGAAATAATACTACTACTCGTAGGGCTATATTTTTATCGTTTTATAATTCACGGTGTTTTTCTTTGGCAGTAACCGATTTTTAACAATACACGATGCTATCCTGCGTTCTTGTACGTAAGCTGAGTAAGCGTCGTTTGGCAAGCAGCAGCATCTGTGCCACATCCGCTGACTAGATGACTGCTCGTAGATTATGAGTGGTTTCAAGAAGTTGTCGGAACGCCTCCTTTTGCTCCGATGTTTGACCTTCTTTGAAGAAGCTATAATTTGATCAGAATATGGGTTGATTTAGAAATATGAATCACGAACGTACAAGGACATTTATTTGTCCACAGCGGTGAGCATCGTAGCGAAGACCTCTAACATACGCTGGCCAAAAAACATGAAAGTCTAAGGCTAGACTACTTACGTAGCCCGCGTACGATTACAACTATATGACTTAAATATGGCTCAACATCGTAGTCCCCTTTTTCTAGATATGCACACAATCCATCAGGTTCTCAGGTAAATCCACCATAACCCTACATGATGATAGGCTAGATAAAGGTAACAACTACGAAGATCTACACATGGCCTCTTTAGAGAATTGTCTCAGTTATCAACATTTGAATCGAATCGAACGTTCTATACTACGTAGGTGAGTGAACTCATTCAATCTTGTAGATCTAATTGTTTGAAGTTATAATTGAACTGTTATTAGATAACCACAGTAATTACTGCTGTAGTTATCCTTTAACACTTCTTATTTTCCATAAACTCTGTACGGGATTACAATCCCCTTATTGTTAGCAGCAGTAGATTTACGAAGTAATCCGTAAGTTACTCGTCGCATAGAGATGTAAGGAGTACTCGATTATTATTACGATCGCAGTTGCTATATACACACCTGTACAACTGATCAGGAGTAATGTCGAGGGTGGAACAAATCGATTTTCGCGTACACATCGGCACCACAAGCAAATCATTCACACGAGCCATTAGCAGACGTGCGTAGAATGACTGGCACCTGATCGAAGACGATACATCGTGACGAGTGCGTTTAGTACTGATTTTATATAGCCATAGTTTGGTCGCATTCGCTGAAGCCCGATTTCTTAGCAAGGCTGTATACGATATTCGATTAAGCTAGCGATGAATGGATTAATAAAATTTACAAAACAGTAGGACGCATTTGACGCAGTCTATGAAAGCGATGTTATTTTCGGCCAACGATGTCCGGAGAGGTACATCATGACGACCACTACAGAGCGTGACGCAACTCAGAACGACCTTCTGCTGCCTGACTGACCTATCGCCCGTGTTGCTATGATTAAGTATAATTTTGAACGAAAGCTAATTCTATTATTGGATACCTATACTGTGACAGAGTTAGAGTTAAACTAGCCAGGCGTAACTGAATACCAAAATACTGTGATTATAAACATATTTTTCGACAAAATAGGGGTTCCGAGTTAAACATCCCGTACTGCCGTTAGGTATTGTTTAAGAAGTATTTTTAGGGCACAGCGTTTCTTATTCTATAGTTAAGGTCACTAGAACGAGAGATTCTTGCTTTACGTATGCCTATTATCAAGCACCACTTAGATTGGAAAACATGTGTTGATAAATAGTCGTCTCACATGACGCGCCTCCGTATGATCTTCGATAGCTGTCATTGGAAGCTAATTGTTTTAAATTTGACGTTGCCTACCACTGTCCGTCGTGTCTTTCGGCCTTGGCCAAAACCCTCTGTAGGTCCACCCAGCAATCCAGGTATGCTTCCAGTCCTGAAAATAGAACGGTGAAGTGATGAAAGCGTGTCTTGAATATTGAATTTTGATGCACCAATGAAGAAAGTTGTTTGTTTGTATCATTCAGAAGAAATCAATTAATTAAAACTATAGCACTTCCGTATCCGTTTTTGCAAATATAGCTCATTGGTAGTGCTTTGGACCTACGAATACTCTCCATAATGTATATTAAACTGACTTCTGCTGAACGCCATCCATGTATAAGCTATTAGAATAGTCGATCTAAACCCAGCCTGATTAGAACGGCATCTTGCTCATGATGGTGTGAATTTCCATGACACATTTCCCTTAATGTATTTTGCGCCCTCCATCTCAGTGAACACTAATGATGAATAGATATAGAGAGGGTACGTTACCCACGCAATCGTCTTTTTTGCAGTGCCTGATCAACAACTGTTCTTCGAACGATCTAACGTGACCTGGGAGAACATCTGGAAGCTCAGGTTGTGCGTGACCCAGAAGAACGTTTTGAAGTTCATGTTGTACGTGACTTAGAAGAACGGCAGGTGTAGTCATTTCTGATGAATTGCCAGCAGCTTGGGCAAACTTGAAGCTAAATCTACGAACAACAGCTATGAATACTTATCTTCTGGAAGCTAGTTAAGATATAACTAATGCTACAGCCTAAAATGTATCTATAGCGAGTAAATGCGTCCCGATTTGCCTGAAGTTCCCACAGCAGTATTTATGTCAAATATTATAATAAGTGAATCTAAAGTTGAATAAAAATTATAATAACTGTTATTTCAAGGCAGATTTCCACTTCTACCGCCTTCTGGTGGGCTATTTCCATGAGCCTAAAACTATAATAAACTTACCTTAGCTCATTACGGATTTTTAAATTCAATATGTGGTTCGCGTCGGGTTCCACCTGTGTTCAGTTAAGCATACAGCCATCAACGGTCCACAGTTCCCGGAGCAGCACATACAACGAAAAGAATGGGCCAAAGTAAATTCATCTTTTCGGCTATCACGAAACTCTCTGCATTTAAGGTTTATGAAGCTTGTTTCTGAAGCTTTCCACACCTTCAATGGTGTTACCTATGATCTGTGTTATCATTGACAACGATACAGATAAATTGGACAGTTGTAATCATAGCGCTACTCGAAAAAGGCTTACCTACCTGTTTTGCATCGTAAATTTCCAACTTCAGATCATGCGGTCCTTCATCGCATTGTAGCTCTCGTGGAGCTTTTAGTGGTAATAACGGTGTCGACGATTCCATATGAAATTGCTTCATTTCCATTTTGGTGTCCTTCTGTTCCAGTAGTTCCTCAATCTTCGCATTTGGATTTTGAATAGCGTCGTCCGAACTGGTTTGGAAATTCTCAGCTAAAAGGTTAGCCTTTCGAATTACAAAAACAGTCATATTAATTCCAAATAACCGAGTAAGCATTTTCACTAAGATTTTCCTTTATTTATTAACAAACATCAGATAAATTAATTAACACTAAAGTCAAGTAATATCACATTTCTGATGAAATTCCGTTATAGGCCTGGTTAGTAAAGTCAACCAAAGACAGCGAGCGCTCGCGAAAAAAAAATCTCAGAAAAAGCTTTCGTTAATAATTACCTTATGGCCAATATAATTAACTTAATATAATATATATAATTAACATTACCTGATTTGATTATAAAACTGCGTTTTTCTGAGTGCACCTTACTGACGATCAAAAAACGATTCTATATTAACCAATTAAAGACTGTGAAATAACCTCGAAGTTCCGATTAAATGTGTTATTCGTCCATGATTTGTGGGAACAGCAGTGATAAACGTTACGAAATTTTATTTTACCTATAAAAAAGAAGTAATTTAGGAGACCACTTATCAATCCTATTCCTATATGATTTTATTTTTGTGTCCAGATCACCACGCGTTTTTAACTTTGGAAGACAAACACTTTATCACTGCGCTACAACGTGGATGTGTGTGTTTTTTAAATTCACCCAGCTAATATCCTTATTATTATAACCTCGCTGCATCTCGCTTAAGAAATAAAGATATCGATGCCTCGTCTAACATCGTATACCAATTTTTACAATATGGTGAATATTTTCTAGAAGTTGAATGGCTTTGCAGTTATCTGCTAATTATGCAGCAACGGAAAGTACAAGACAAACTTATATAGAAAGCATAGGATGCCATTACCGCTATGATTGGACGACGTCACGGTCATCGACAGAGCGCCAGCTGCACAAAGAGGCACGCATGTGTCCACTTGGCCATGGACATTAAGCTAGAAAAAATCTACAGAATCTAAAGTGGTTGCCAGACATAGAATACCTGTCGTTTTTTCGGACCTATATTGATGAGAACTGATACACCCTAGTGTGTATGTAATGTTCTGCAAAAAGATTTTCAAGACGATCATGTAAATTCTCGTTTTTCATTCTCGTACCTTAACGATTCTGTGCTCAGTTGTGATAAAAGCCGCTGGAGTACTTGTTGAAACAATGGCGCCTTTTGTGCTTAACTTTGACACTAAATCGGCGCGTTCCCGCAATGCGTTCCTAATATTGACGGCACGGGTTGAGGGACCCCATGACATGATGCTTTGTCCAACACTCTGCTACTCAGCAATGATGGTAGCCCGTCGCATATCGCACAACACGAAACGAAATATCAACGTACCTCATTAATGGGGTATCCGGCTCGTAACCAGCTTCTATGAAGCCTTTTGTGTGACTCCTTAAATGATCTATAGACAATTATTTGAATGTTTACCCTATAGGATAAGATCACGTAAAAGGTAGATTTAGATATTTAAATCCAGCTACGCATCCATTTACGTACACTTTGCTTTATTCAACATAACGAAATTCGGAGTACCATGATCTGGCTAACCGCTTTGTGGTGACATTTGTTACTTTAGATAGACAACTTTTAGATGTTACATGTAGAAAATACTCACGTGCCCGTTGTTTTCCGGGTCGACATTTTTTTTTGACGTCTGGCTGTCAACTGAGTCACAAGCCGAATATTCAGATTCGTTGTTTAAGTACAGCTTTGCGCATCCCTGCTCCTCTACAGCCTCTTTTTTTGATGTCATCTTACTGTCATATTGAAAGAAAGAAAGAAAGAGTCATAGAATTTAATGTTAAAACGACTGTAGATCAAGGAAAACGTAGTACACATTCTCCCCAAAAGGTTAAATTTTGCTTCTAAAATCTTCGTTTATCTAGTTTAAGGTATTATTAACAATAGATAACAAATGCAGAGTTACTAGTGAACTCTGTGACTGACATATTCACCATCTTTTGGCATAAGGCATAGGTTACCATCAGCATTTTTTTGCCGCAACAATTACAACAACATATATGGCAATTCTGTAGCGAACAAAGAAAGAAAGGCTGTTTAAAATGCCGTAGTAACCTGAAAGCGCTCAATCTTTAAACAGACTCAAAAAAATTGCTTTTTTTTGTAAACAGTTTATAGGGCGTTTCTGTGAAGGCCTGTTTAGCTGCCCCTTGATAGAAAGAACTTTTCACTTTGAGTAAAGCTGAAATTGATGAGACAATATGAATTGGTTAAGGCCCTTCTATCACTCCTAACGCTATACCACACACACCTGGGCATGCTCAGCGAGCCTGGCAGTTTACCAAGCAGAAGTTCCTGTTGTCTGGGTTTCAGGTATCGACCGAGATGCGAAATTAGGTATTTTCGGTATCTTTCCCGCAAAGAATGGAATGTGCGCTGGCCTGGATTAAACTTTAAAATCAATAATAGTAAAGATAAAATCTTATAACAATATCAGCTTAGCAAAGCGCGTCGTTTTACTTCAAAAATAAGGGTAGTTGGAATCAGCAATAAATTTATAATTTTCAGATAATCTTTCAAACAAAAAATGTTGGACAATAGTGCATAAGATTATATATATATATATATATATATATATATATATATATATATATATATATAAGTGATATTCCATATAGTTGACGTTGTGTAGCCCTGTCCAGTACAATGTCAAATTTATCTACTGATCCGTACGTATGAAGCGATCGATTGAAATTTTAAAAACGGATATTAGCATAGAAATAGGCCGAAAGCCGTGCAAAAACGAACCTTTCGAGAAGTGGCCAACTTTTTCCATACTTCGTTGCCACCTAACCTGGTGAACTGGTGGGTTTTCAGCAAATACTCTAAAATTAATTTATCTTCTTTTTGAGTGAACATTGCCCATGTCTGAAATGACGAGGTTTAATTCGTTATGTGTAACGTCTGCCTAAGAAATTGTGCTAGCTATATGGCTAAAGCAACAGGTAGAAAGGCGACTTCGTACTTAAAAATAGGTCTGTGAAATCTCTAGAAATTATTTTCTAATTTGACCACAAAAGTGGGTCGCTTGTGGATAATAAGGAAAAAAGTGCAGTTAAAATGATTGACTAGAATAGCCTTACGTGAACGTCTTGAGTTGAAATTCAAGGTTATCTTCTAGTGAATGCCTAGTACATCATTACATGCGATAGGCTTGAGCCTTTCATCTATTCATTATCTGCTTTTTTTACTGCATGTTGTACCTGGATTAATGATAAACCTTAGACCTAGCTGCAATTACTATACAATTTTATTCCTCCAACTAAAAAAAAAATAGGCACAACATAATAACCGTACTATTTGTTTAGATTAGAGACCCATATCCGCTTATCCGCATATCAGTGACTCTTGGGGCCAATAAAATAAGCTTTAAATTTCGCTTAAGGAACACACATTACTTTACCGACTATTTTTAATCGAATAAATATATAACACTCACTCGGTTTGTGCTTTTTGGAGGCCAGTTGCAGTCATATTCGAAAATGTCTTTAAAGGTCATTGCCATTCTGCTCGAAGATACGAAGAGAAGAGATTAGTATGGTTTTCGCATGCTCGTGTCCAGAGTCGACATTTGATACCTTCTTTGTTATATCCCTGAAGGCATTCTAAAAGAAGGAGCTATATCACTCTTATCACATCAAAGGTCTAGCCCTAGCAAAGAAATAGATACGTCAAAATGAGCTTACAGCTTGATTTAATGTCGAACAGGTCCGCTACAGGTAAAACTACTCCAATGTTCATTCTAAAAGAAAGGCTTTCTGTAGTACTGTAAAGGAGATAAACAAAGTTGCAGTTTTGTTGACGGATCAACAGCGCTAACTGCCAAACATACCAATATATAAGCGACTACGATTGGTCCAAATAATGTTTTAATTTAGGACGAAGGCCGGCGAGATCGAACTGTCAAGGCATGAACCTTCCAAACTGTCAAAATTAACAAACTGAAAAAGATCAAATGATACTACGTATAAACAAGTAAAAACGTATATCATAGCCATACCTTTTCTCCTTGGACACCCTGACTGGTATAAAACACCATAGAGGACTAGTTTTATAAAGATACGATTTTTGCACAGCCCAGTTATGCAATACGATTTCGCCTTTATCTATTATTGCTGGCAACCAAAGTGAGCTTGCTTGCGTAGCCGCTACTGATAAAGTCTCAGTTACACATTGCGCAGTCATATTTTTTTATCTTAAGAGCTAGTAAAAAAGTATCTGTTGTCTATATATTATATTTTGAAACAGGCAAAAACAGAATTAACAAAGAACTCATGTTGTTGGCATATTGAGTTTCTTCTCGCATAATTGATAATAATGTGGCCTCATTAAACACTACATGGACATCACTTTTCAAAAAGTGCTGCTTACTCTGATATACAGTCGGGCCCAGTTTTCAGCCTAACCCTGTGTAATTATCCATCCGCAGAAATACCCGCTCGCTGGAACTATTAACACAGATATCCATTATTATTAGGGTTCTATTTGACAAAAGCCAATTCAACACTTACCGTGAATGAGCCGTCAATAAATCACAAAACTAAATGTTGTAATAGAACAGAGCGAAATATCTAGCAACATTACGTCGAAGCTGACGCTTGCCTTAATGTTGTTCTGACGTACCCTTTTCTCTAAAACATTTTTGTTGCAATCTCTGTCTTGCTTATATAATTTGTACAGTCCTTTATTAAGCATACTTTCTATTCTGTCTCACATCTATCTGTCTGTCTATTTTATCATCGACGCTTTAAATAAGATCGGTTCTCAATTATATTATGAGTGGGTGATCAGCTCTTACGTTAGCACGCATAAGACTTTTCTTTCTTGGGCTAGTTATGATACTTGACTTGAGACATCGCCAAAATTCTCTAAGAGAAGAGTAGCTAAGGTCGAACTTTTTGATAATAGACAAACGAATACATACCGATGAGTTCTAGGAACAATTTTTTTTTTCAATTCCAACATTGCGATGAATATTTGTGACGATTAATAAATCAGCTGATTTCTCTTCAATCAATCAGCGATTGTATTGTATATATGAAAGAGAAGAAAGCAGTGGCGCCATCTATTGAGCATTGTTGACACGTAGGTTTATCGTTAAACCTTTTTCAACTTTCTTGTTAATTGATTTCATACAATTTTAACATACTGGCATTTTATATATCTTTGATTAGCCACTGGCTATGAAGCTACTATTACCGTGTCTAATCTGAACGTTAGGTGGTGCTGAATAGGCTTGAGCATTTCATTTGTACAGGTACTGCCTTAGAAACTAAAAGTATATGAGACAGTCAGTAGATGCTGATGATGAACTGAACAGCAAACAGTACATCAGAGAATTTGCCGATTGTCGCTAACACTACATAATGTGTGCAAATTAGCGGTTACATAGATGGTTCTGTTAAGTGTAACACATTCATCTTGAATAAACAAATATATAAATACAGGGACGAAAAAATATGTACCTGCAATACTTCAAGGTTCTTTACGAAAAACCGCTTTCCTGCTGTTTCCTGTTCCAATTAACCGAAAAAACCAGCAACGGTGATAGATACTGGCGATGAACAACATTTTAAATTTTTAGGAGCAGACGACGGCCGCTTGGCGCCAACGCTTGATTAATACCATCTTCCAATTTGTTCATGCATTCAGCAGATTTTAGATGCGAGTGTATGCCGTTATAATCTGGTTAAATGCTTTATTATACTGACTGTTGTCACGTCGTGTGGACGTGAAATGTCGGATCTTTAGAGGTTACCAGAAAGCAGCTTAGGATATTACTGATACGGCGTGAACGGCTGTACAACGGGCTCGAACAGAGAGGCCGTCGTTTCGCATGTGCTTGAAAAGCTGTAGTTCGAAATTTCCAATTCGTCGAGTCCGGCTCCTGCAATCCTATACTTTGTAGAACGACGTTGAACTAGTGGGCTGTTTTTGCCGACATGTCTCGGAAACAATCATTTACTGAACAGTGACCGGAGGCTGTATCATGTTATTTGCCCTATCGTTACATATGTCTCCCTGTCCACGTATTGACTGACTTGAACTTGGCTGTACTTTTGCGGATTTCAACTCTAGAGAAAAAGTGTAACAATGGTTAGTATGCAGTATTTTAGATTTATGCCCAAACGTTTCTAGTATGTGTACAGTTATATATGATACATTCTATGAACCTTATACCGTTCAAAAAGGCTATAGATGCCAATGCTGATTATTTGGTAATATAAAAGGCAGTTTCCCAGCAATCGAATTTTGATCGTATAGCCAGCTTTGTTCTCACACGGTCCCGATGGTTTTTTGGAAAGCGTCGATATTTTTACGATTCATAAAAGCAGCACAGCATTATAACGTTCTTTTTATTTTATATCATCTCAATATATATATATATATAAATCGTTAATACATTATTTCTTTTCCATACTATGGTATCATTTATAGGGAAGTTCAAATAAGCAGCGTTTGAAAATATTAGAACATTTCTAATTGCCGTTGACCGTCATCAGCGATCTAGTAAATATGCTATATTACTGCTAGTTGACTAAAACGAATATCGTCTAATTCCGTCGTGCTCATTGTCAGCAAACGTGGAAGAAATATCTGCGAACTTCAGAAGGTCTTCATATTTAGGTTTGAGTGAGTAATGTTCTGTAAGTGTACATGTGCCATTGCAGTTTTAAATGCGGATGGACGAAGCAGCGCTACCTGGAGACAGCAACAACGTCTATTAAATCTTTACTGTAATTCGTTGTATTTTCGCACAGTAACTATTATTATGAAGTGATCCGACCAATGGTAGAGGAATGGAAACGATGAACAAAAAAGAGCAAGGTCAAAAGCTCATCTAGCCAGGCAATAATGACCTTACCTTTGTCGATTACACATAAAATGAATATATACAAATAGCATTTACTATAATCAAATAACCGTTAATATCTGCTAGAAAATGATATCTTTTTTTCCTCATGTTACAGTTACTTGTGATCCATCGGGATGTTCTCCAATCGTTAAACGGCATTGACAAGTCCGGAAACAGTGTTTCGTCGTTCTTCGTAGCTCGTCCAACACCTGACCACCGCAACTTGATCTTGACCACGGTTGATCGTAGACCCCGACGTGAATCTCATTTTATCGGGGTAGCATCGACTCGTGCTAAAAGATCAAAATGTTTCGACTTTACGCTAAATCTCGACTCATTTGAAATTCAAAGCTATTGCGAACATTTCACCTGCGACCAAGTGCTTATCGTCGAGGATAAGAAACTCTATGAGCATATCACTGGAGGTGTGCAATCACTCCTAAATTCAGTGAGTTCTTCAGCTGCTCTAACTGAGGCTCATATGGTCGCACCGACAGCGGGAACCTTTGGTACGGTTGACAACCAAGCCAGTAGCTTGGGGTCTCTCAGAAAGCTTGTGACCGATACAGAAATACCCAGCGATACATCTGGGATTCCTGGCTATAGCGCCACTGCCTTCTCGACTGCGGTCCCTAGCGAAACTGCTTCAGAATCTACAATCAGTAAAAGTGGTAGGCGTTCTGGAGCAACGTCTTATCTGGAACATCATTCCGCTCTCGTTAAACTCGTCCTAGTGTTTCGTAGTTTTTCAGTAGGTAAGGAACTACTTATTCTGTTACTGCTTGATGCTCTATTAGGGATCTGGCTAGGACCTAGACTGTGTTGGTGGTGGCCAAGAGCTTTAGAGTCCGCTGTACCACAGGTTCGTCGCATTGTTGCCTGGCTACGTGCTGGTACTCCGCTTGGCCTTAAGCTCAACCCGCAGGTAAACCAAGCGTTGGCCAAGTTTTTCACATGCCACGTCAACATGTGGCATGTTTACGTGGACGTCATGCTTCCGTCACTTCGGACGTTGACGGATGCGGTTGCCGCTCGCCCCTGTCTTCCACTGTCGGTGCAGTGTTCGCTCATTTGTGACATCATTACGTTGGCCACCGTTCACGTATACTGCTTCTATGGGTATATGTGCAAAATTTATTCGGTATGGCTTAGCGCCCTAGTAGCTCTTCTGCGAATTTTCCGTGGCCTCAAATGGAACCCACTGCGCCAGCGTGTGGACTCTTTAGCTGATTCCGATCCTGTTTTGTTGGGACCGATCATTCTCACAATACTTGTCTTTCTTTCGCCGACGGTGTTCTTATATTATGTTGTGTTTTCAATAATGCGATGCTGTGTTCTCGTCGTCAATTTTTCCTTGGGCACTGTTACGCACGACATGCATGTTCTGTTATTTAATTTATTAAAATCGTTGACGTCGCAGCCCGTTATTAACATTCGAAAAACGAAGATCGTGCGAATAAACGAGTTTGCGTTGAAGGCTGAGGCCAGCTATTCGAGAGGCACAGGAAAATTGCTAATGGCTGGTTTAAAACGATTGATCCGTCTAAAGGAACTGCTCACGTTTTGTCGAGATCTGTGCGTAGGTAAAATCGTATATCCTCTATGAAAAAATATATATATATAGATATTATATGTATATATTGTGCTTGTTAGGGTATATCATGTGAGTGAAAGTTATAACGTTGGAATCCTCTTAGAAACAGTTCAATAAAAATGTATTACTTTAAATTAATCGAATGGGCGTGCTCCACTTGCTTAGTGATTATTATTACTGTCAAATATAATTTTTGCGTTATCCATCATACGCGTCAATATTATGTCTAATACTTTTTGTGAAATCATTTTCTTCCAAAAGGTCAATTTTGTAGGAAAAGTTTACCCGAAAGCGTGATATCGTACAGTTATTCTAGTACCTGTGAATGACTCCACTTTTTTTCTATAAGCGCATCGAAATAAGTTTCCCCTCCAATAATAAAAACAGAATATAACCGACTTATAACATCCCTCTAATACGTTTAGTTCCTGGTAAAAAATAATTTGTAGCTTTTACTACGGCCGGTTATAGCTCCTTTATGTGACTATCGAAATAATTTTAAAATGCAATCTGTATTCAGTATATCAAATGCATATTTCAACGCTAACTTTCTTCTTTGACCAACTATCGGTTGGCCTGTATCTGGCTAAACAATTGTTAACAAAAATCACAAAGCTAAGATAAATGTGTAAAAGATATTATTGTTGCTTGAACTCAATATTTATATTCACAATTTCATTGATCAATATCATTAAAAATAATTCGTATACATAGCCACCGTTCCAATCGTGTATTTATTACCCACACCTTTTTCATGTACAATAATACTACAATCTTATACATGTCGTATAATCATTTATTGGTCTCTGTAGAAATGTCAAAGTTGTTTAAATTCTCAAATCACTTGAGGTTGGATTTGTTTGCCTTTCACTACAATTTAATATGCCTAGCCAGCTATAATATGGTCTTGTCTAGCACTGTGCGCTAACAAAGCAGGTCAAAAATCGCTTCGAAGAACCTTTGAGAGTGCTCGCTCTGGACGAGAACGAAGTTTTCCTGGAGGTAAGCTGTCTTCACTGTGGCAGCCTCGCAACGTACAGCTGCCTGCGCGAAAACCTGCGCGAAAAGATTCCGTGATGATGTTTCGGCCAATGGAGGTATGCCGACCACAAGGCTGTAGCCCTGGTGATCTGGTACACTTGAGGGAGCCGCGACAACCATGGGAAGCGTATGTGACTTTCGAGTCCGTGAAGTGCTAACGTATGCCGTTTGCAAAAAATAGGCCAGGTCCTCAAGCGCGCCAGGCCTTCCGAAAATTTTCGAATTAGGCGTGCTCTCTTGTAGTACGGCGTACAGGTAACTGCCGGTTGATACGATTTGTCGTGTTTCCAAAAATGTTTGTACCTGCTGAAAAATTGACATCACTTTCGTTTTTGATAGCTCAATGCCTTTGTCAAGTATTTCAACGCGGGACCACGAAAGGGCATCCAAAGCGCGGAAGAAATCACCTTTAAGCGGAAAAAAGATCATGAATATTCAGTGTTAAAAAAAGAGATATTTTATCTTACGCTTAAGTTGATCGCTTGTCTTGGGTTATGGTAAATTTATTTACAGGCATACATTCGGCTACAGATGTTCTTGTGATATGACTGGGTTAAAGACACTGGTTTGTGTGAAATGATATCATTTTTATCTCTTTAATATTTGACAGGTATGACTTTGATTATGCGGTGATATATTTAACTGGTCTGTGATGCAGGAGGTCTGTTAAAATAGATAAATGGCAAGGGATACTCCAATGTGCAGCTGTTATAGGAAAAATAACTAAAAACTGGAAAGAAAGACAACAAAATATATAAGGATCGAAAACGAGTGAGTAAAGGAATAAAATAGAAATAGAAAAATATAAAATAGAAAGCTCGAAACAATAGATGATTTACGAATCAATTTTTCCAACCTTCATCGATTAACGTGTGCACAGCATTAACGACGTCCATCGCATTGAATCTATGTTTGTAGCCAAGGTTTGCCGTAAAGCAGCCAAAATCAATTTCGTCCAGGTTGTACTTATCGGCAAGTTTAAAAATCCACTCCTTGACAGAACTCCGAATTTCAATATCCATTGAGGCAAATTTCTGCCGGCATTCGTTCAGTGGCACCCCAAGTTCCGCCATAAATTCGTGCAGTTTTTTCTGTCCTTTCACGGTCCACAGACGAAATCGGCACGCAACATGGACGGTATGTCGCATCGAGTCAAGAAGCGTCCAGTGACGTAAGAAGGTGAGGTTTAATTCACGGCCAAATGACAGCTTCACAGTATTGATATTCGAATCGGCACTGTTCTGATCATATAACTGGTCATATCTCGACATATGGCCCTGAAGTAGCCCACACTCGGTAACATATTTATCCGACTCCACTCGACGATGCGCCAGTTGATCACTGAGGCCAACGATAGCGTACCATAGGATCTCTGTAGAATCTCGCGACATCTTCCAACATAGCTCAAAGATAAGGAGCGCTGTCGCCTTTCCAAAATAATTGAACTGGGTGTATTCAAAGAGCAGACGGCTGCGATTTTCTACCCAAAGCCGCTTCTGTCTGCGGCGCTCAACACTTGCTTCAAAATCACCACCAGCCTCGTCTTCCTCCTCTGAGTCCATGTCATCACGAAAGATATCGTCGAAGTTGGGTACATTTTCGTCTTCAAGACGACTCAAAATTCGTACCTAATGTAAATAGAATCAAAGAATTGGTATTATCCTTACTGGGATACAATTTATTCCTGCAGCAGCTTTCGTGAAGTAAGTGCTTTGGCAGAAATATGTATGGTGAACATATAATTTTGGCTTATGTGTATTAATCTTATAACATACATAGATAATAGAGGTCATCCTAAGACGAATTACTTCAATGAGTCATTTACATGAATCGAATCGAAAAAGCAAGACAGAATCGTACTTAACACCTGCTCTTGTTGCCGCTAGACTAATTATACCACTGAATCAAGCGATTAGTGCTTCTTTAATTCGAGACAGGCAATAATTAGCGAACGAAATAATTAGATTTTTTATAATAGAACGAAGCTCTAGTCATTACATCTACCACTAAGATACAAGCGCGGTATCATTGAAATAGCTGCCACAATTCGATCAACGCTCTGACTACTATAGCTCATTACTGCAGTAAAAATTTCATCTTAGTGCCTATCTCAATATATTGGTTGCCCTTAGTTATACCACAACGGTACAGGGCCATTTCGACAGGTTTCAAAATACTTTTCAAAGTAGGTTTTTTATTGTTATGAAAACGCTTTTTAAATAACCTTTTTTTATCGTATTAGAAGAATCCTAACTAACCATTACTATACAATTCAACTCTAAGTCAATCTAGTCTAGTAAAACGCATAAAATTACGTGCTATGTTATTTCTTTTCGCCACTTTTGCTTCACAAAAAAACTGATCATATGGTTTCGCCAATAAAACAAGAAGTGTGGTCCGTCGTATAGAAAACTTGAGCCGATTTTCAATCTCATAAGGAGTATCCTAAAAAAATAAGACTCTACACAACATACTTAACCTAACATACCTGCGAATTGTTGTACACGTTGTAAACGCTGAACGGACGATGCGCGTCAGCGATAAAGAAAATTAGCTTTTCATTTTTTGGCTTGCACTCCTCGATAATGTCAAAGGTTCCTCCACAGTTTAACATCACGACGTATTTTCCAGTCTCTCCATGTTTATTGAGGGCGTCAGTAATATCTTCTTTTCGAGTAACAGACACCAACGTGTAGAGGACGTTATCACACTGAAATAAGTACTGAAGAATTTTGCACGAGGCTAACGAATCCACGTCGCCACCACACAGTACTAATACCCGCTCATTGAGCAGTAGCTCGTAAAATTCCGTTTTTAGGTCTTGTACGAACATCGCCGACCGCTAACGCCGTCTGTTGGGCAACCTGACTTGGCAGCCTCTTCACAGCGTACAACACATATGCATCAATGTGTCCACCGGATTATAGCATGACACATAGAGATGCTGATTGCATGGGGATAACAAACATAAGGACGCAAAAAATAAAACCTCTATGCAATACGTTTTCTTTTCTAACATATCTTCATCAAAGTTAAGTAAAACGAAACATTTACTGTTCGGCTGCAAAAGTAATGTACCATTTACATCTATTGAATGGAAAAAAGGGTATTTACTACCTTCCTGAAGTAGGGCCACTTCGCCAATCCGCAAAATTTTGGACGTATTTTGCACACAGATGACAGTTTGGCGCCATTAAGGATTACCCGCAGCCGACACGGCTCTCTCTCACGCTGAGTAAAGAAGAGCGTTCCCCGGAGTGCTGCTAAACTTTGTGTTTACTCTAGGATCTAAACAGCAATGGATGCGCAGTATATACTAGGTAACAATTAGCAAAGAAAGAAGTAGACGTGTTTTTTCTGCTTGTTGTGCAATCATAGGCCACTAAGTAATTTTTTTCTTACTAAAGAACTTTAAAAGTCATTTGCACATTTGTATTAATAATCAAATAGAGTGTACATGATAGGAAGAAGGCTTAAAGTGGATAACATCGAGAGCCTCCCTCAAGGATGACTTTGATAGTCTAGTTCTAATCTATCTCCGGCTAACTTGGCAGTAGTGTTTCCAGAAAAGTTTAAATGTGGAAATCATTCAGGAGAGAAAACGCTTTGAAAGTGAATTTATAGCGCGCACATTTTTAAGGCATACTTACACAACAAATAAAGATCATCTCATCATCGGTTAATATTCAGTTGTAAACAAAGACGAGCCGGCCCTGCAACGGTGCTGATTTGCGCGGAATTTATCGCTAGTGCTCCCGTCTGCTTTCCCGTAGGTGAAAGACGTTCAAATGTTTCTCTAATTCATGCATAATATTCGAAACAAAATCATTCGTTGACACAGGACGTATCATTACCAGTGACCGTGGATGTTGTCTTAAGCAACGAATAAACACAAAAAAGGAATCGTAAGTGAAGACCCGGTTTAATGAATGTTTTATGAAAATTACTATTCCACAGACACATGTGAACATTCTGCCATAAATATATCGGGCTGTACTGAGAAGTTTTCAGTTAGATTTCGCCAGAACGCAGAGTTATGACAGGCAGATACTCTTGAAAGGAGTACTATTATTCTTTTGACGCTATTACAAAAATTAGGAATTCATACAGCAGTCCTCTTTAGTCGGCCTATATATGATAAATGTCCGTGATGAGGTTTCGACCGTTTAAGGACGCTGTCTGATCTCTTCATAATATTCGGTTTAGGAATAATGTATTAAAATTTATGAAATGCTTTATGAGATATTTTTTTATCCCCCGCTTTTTTTATAGGAAGCATCTACTTACATGTTTCTTGTTTCTTTGATATAGGCATGAAATATTAAGCGCTTAATATGGCAACTTGAGTTTGTACGCTGTTTAAATTTCGGTCTTTTGAGTTCGCGTGCTATCTTGTGCTTGTCACTAGATGGATTTCCCTGTTTAAGCTGCGACTGGAGCAACTATAATGTCATATACAAAAAAACGTGACAGACGTTGGTAAAAGAATTTTTAGATTAGTTCAGCAAATAGAACAACCAGAAGCGGTAGATAGGAGGCAACGATAGCTTATTATTATTATTCATTATATCATACTGAAATACTATAAATAAAATATTGGAATACTTTTAGAATATAGGAAATCGCGTCCATTTCAAACCGCTTTTAGGACAGGTATCGAAATACACACGCGAGATTGCATCGTTTCTTCTATTTGTGTTACCGATCTGCTGAAATCTGACGAATTAAATTTAGTTAGTATTATAAAAAGGAGCTGTGCATTCTTTTTATAAGCACAGAATTGGAACTTACGCTGATTGTCACCTTTTGCAATATTTGAATTTTGATATACTTTTTCAAGTTACTGTAAATCATAAATATTTTGTGAGATGTATTCTACATAAAATGCGAATATAGACGTCGCCATACGGGAAGACAGAATTAACAATCCTCCGCTTTATCAAAAATAATGACATTCAGTTATTTTTCATATATATATATATATATATATATATATAGTAGACAAAATCAGTTTCGTTAATTGAGGTAATTGATTCTATCAATCTGTTGTCGTTTTTCCAGGCCATGACAACCCACAGCCCTGAAGGAGATCGTTCTGTATATTCGGTACTCTTCGAGTCTGCGACAGTTAGCCGAGAAGCTCAACCCAGCGATCCTTTGCTTGTCAACTCATCTATTAACGGTGCGACCAAATTAAAGAACGCTGTTTGCCCATTTAAGCATTACACATTTCAGTTGTGTGTTACCGTAATAACGTTTACAACATTCCGACTTCGGGGCAACCTCCCATCAAGGAGCCAGTTATAAATTCAAGCAAAAACATCAGTGTTATCTAAGTACTGAGTCAAAATGAGTGCTAAGTCAAAGTATACATCTATATATATAAACGTATATAGGTCAGAGATAAACGATCACATAATACCATTAAGTGCTGAATAAAGGGTAGGGCAAAATTTTTTTAACCAAAGTCTGTTATTTTTTAAACTGCCAACAGACTTTTTTCCAACAGTTTAGAGAGTTTTGCCTCAATCTATATACTCGATTTTAATTCGCAATCGTTTACCTTTAGTTTCATTTCAAAGATAGGGTGTGCTATCAATGGGCCGATGCGACCAAAGCCTCAGTCTCTATATTCTCTAAAAAGTGCAGCTTGCATGTTTTATTCGGCATGATATACGCATGATAATAAAGAATGTTTCTCTTATTTATTTTTATTTTTTACTAGATGTTACCCTGTTGTTGCCGAGTTGGATCGTTGACCAGAATGCAAACAATACTCTGATGAATACAACAGGTCGCGGTCAGGCCACGCCACAGTTGCCACCGGTTTCGCAAGGTAGGTCCGACACTGTAGTAAATCTACATAGGTAATATTAGGGTAAAGGATAATGGTGATGTCACAGTGAATTTTATCACGAAACAGTCCGCTTAGGATCCGCATGTTTAGAACGGGCAGTAGTAGTTTCGTTCTTTTTGGGTGCAAAAGCTTAAAACTTATTGAACCTTGTTAGTGATAAGATGTTATATGGTTGAGATAAAAACGAATATACATCTATTAATAGCATTCAGAAAGGCTTAAAAAGTTCTATTATCAAAGAGTTGTTGTGAAAAAATAGGATTAGGCAAAGAGGTTATGACAAGTCATTGGATTGATCTACAGGAGCGTTTGGTTAGCTCAAATACTATTCTTTGCGCATGATGCGCTCTAAATTGAGCTCAACCATACCACAGACATCGCTTTCCATTCACAAAAATATATTGCATATTGATGATAACAGATTTAGCCCCTTCGGAAAATCTCCGTAGTAGTAACAATTTCAGCCTTTTAGAACTTCAGTAGCTTATGGGATGTCTGATCATAATTGCCAAATTGCTGCCTTTATGTATAGAGAAGATAGCGCCTAAATAAGAACTTTTACTCTTGGTTTGTTTTGAAGATTGTATTTAGTAGATAACAACATATCTTTTAATATTTTTTTTACATTTGCTTGAAGTGTCATTTCTATCGGTTGTATTCATTCAAGAAAATCACCATTCGCCGCAGTTACAGCATCAATTCAAAATTTTCGTTGCTTTGTTCCAAAAAGAAACTTTTGTAAAACCGACCGCGGAAAATAAACATATGTCGCTTACAACAATCAGTCCGCCGACGTTTGTTCCGATTCGGGTGCCGTACTTTGCATATATATGTTTCATGTACAGTAATTATAAAAGAGCAAATCGTTAATACTCTTACAATTTACGCTTAATAAAGTACGAATATTGTGCTTTTTCCATTCTATATTCGTAGAAGTGCATTTGGAATTCAGTGAAGCGCTGCACTCAATGGGTCGCAACGAGACGTTTTTGATTGATCCAGAGCCACTCGTGAAGAGATACACGACACTGAGCGAGGATTTTGAAAAACGATTGCGGGACCTGGTAGCTAATCGACCCGTAGGTGCTGGCGAGATTCGTGAGCTTATCGAGTTTTTTCACAACGAAAAATTCACCTGGAAGCTTGTATGGGCTTTTCTCGCTGCCGGACAGGTAGGCAGCCTTTATATTTCACCGGAAGTCTTTGAAAATTTCATGGTGTTAAGCGTTGTTTAATGAAGCTTGAATAATCGTTTTGTTTGTGCGGCTCTTCATAAATCAACCGACCCTTAGGGAAATGACTCTATAACAAATATGGAAGAAACGGCAGAGCTGCGTTTGCCAGCTTCGGATGCTGAAGAGATTGAAGAGCTTTTCGATTCTTCATTTGACTTCCGGAAGATTCAGACTCTAGTCGACTGGTTGGAGCATCGCTACGCCGAAGAGAAATGTGCATCAAAAACGGCTTCATTACACGCCTATAAGTAAGTATCGCAACCATGATGTAGGGCAAAAGGAAAAAAGCCAATGTAAACTTCATCAAAGTGTATTACACTGTGTTTGCTTATTTGTGTACCTATATGCCGATAAACTTAGCGTGGTACACCAGCTTCACTAGTAGAAAGGTTGTTGTTCATTTCACCATAAATAGTACACTGAATATACAACGTAATTTCTAGTTACTTGAAATAACGTTAGTCAACGCAATGCTAATAGATGCTCATTTTGTTGTGTTGTATATATACTAGTAGAGACGTACGATATTTATCATATTGTATTATATATGACATCTCCAATTTAACTACACGGAGATTTCGATCATATTTGATTCGTTAGGGACAATGGCTTTATGTATGAATGTACGCGACACGCAATACTCAAAAATCAAGCAAATTGCGACATCATAACCGAACTCGATCCAGACGCGCCAATTCGACAACGACGGGTTTTGCACGAGCAAGACACCGAGGATGAACAGAGATTTTTCCGCTGCGTGTTTGAGCTGGTACGTGCCGGAAAACCGACGGAAGCCCAGAAGTTAGCCATAGATCAAGGATACTTTATGCTAGCGGCGGGCATGGAAGGTTGGAAAGCGTTCAGAGGTAACATTCGAGGTACGTTGACAGTTGCGACAGATGGAAACGAAGCAACAGACTCAGTAAGGAATGGCAGGAAACCAAAAATATACGGATTAACATTGATGTGCACACGGCAAATTTATTTTTTTAGTTGGGAAAAAGCCAGATTAGTTAATACTTGCACGTTGTTAATATATAGGAACGATAAACATGTTTTTCTCAACTTGACGGCAAGAAATTTGTTCTGATCGCTTTGTGTATATTGCATGTCATGTAAGGTAACTATGAATTGAATTTATGAGCACTTATATAAACTTATGGATCTTTTTTGATAAGTCACGAGGTATTTTTAAAGTAGCAAATAGGGAAAATTTAATAATTATTATTAATCGGTGTGGTGTCTCTTTAATGATTACAGATGAAGAAGGCAATCTTCTGCCGGACGAAGGCAACCCTTACCGCGATGTCTGGAAGACTGTTGTATGGAAGAAGTTAGCAGACGACCGCGTAAATCCAGCCGAAAAAGCGATTTTCGCTGCATTGAGTGGGTGTTTAGAGGCGCTTCTTCCTCTTTGTACGGACTGGGAAGATCATCTATGGGCTCACCTTAAAGTCATGGTCGATGTTGCTATCGAGCTACATTTAAGAAATTCACGAGGAGCTGACATCGGGCGCCTTCCGGAAGAATACCCAAAGGAAAATGAAACTATTGATCATGTTTTGAGGTACTGCAACCATTCTTAATAGTACTATCTAATATGAGTACTGAGCATTTATGCCACTGAATAAAATATATACTTTATGATTTTTTTAAACTAAACAGATTGTATTAGAAGATGAGGCTTATTTGTGATCGTTTCAAAATGAACTCATTTAACGATCAGTGGGCAAATGTTCCAATCTAACGCAAGCGTGTTGAGATCATTTTTATATTATTACCCCTATTCCAATCGATTATGTTTTAGGTATTTTATTTTGTAAAGAAGGCGTTCGCATTTATTGAAAATGTCTTATGCACTCCTTATAGGTTGCAACTAAACCAACAACCAATTTTCGACTTGCAGAACCCTCGAAAATCGTCCCGAGCTGAATGCCGGCGAGTTTTTTCGGCAGCTTCATAAATTCCTAATTCTACAGGACGCTGAGGGTTTACTGAAGATGATGTTTGACAGCTGCACAAAACTTGCTGAAGAGGACAGTCGGGCAGGACAAAAGCCCGCGCATCAGCTTCGTCTTATGGCCAATTTGGCTTTATTCTTACGCTATCACCGGCAAGATAGTGGTGGAAAAACGAATGTTGTCAACGATCCAGTCAATTACATAGGTAAAAACGCCTTCATTCCACTGCTACAGAAATATTTCTTGTCTGTTTTTTAACGTATATCTACATGTAAAAGCGTTTCACTATGAATTTTTCGTTTTATGATTTAATTGCGTGAGCTTTTGAGCACTAATTAATAACTTGCCACGAGAAACAAACAGAATCATACATGACTTCCATATATCTATTCGTTAGGCAACGGTGTTCCGATGCGGTATTGAGCTCCCTTCTGCTCCCGTTCGAGTTGGCGGAGCGTGGCATTAGTGATGAAATTAAGTACAAAATTATACAGATTACATAGAGGTTTTAGAAGAGCCTCAACGGACTGCTGTAAATAGTCCTAACAGTATTTTGTGAATGGTTTTCTTACAGTGGCATTTTACGTAGATCGCCTAATTTTTGAGGCTGTTTATGACGTTGTGCCTAAATACGTACTTCACCTTCCCGGTCTTCTGCGTGAACAATGTTATATCAACTTATTACGAACGCTAAAAAATCCGGCAGATACTCAGCGAAGAGCCATTATTGAGGCTGCCCAACGCGAGGAGATTGATATTTACGATTACCTAACGAAGTTCGTATACGAAATTATTCATCAAGAAAACCAATCGGCCACGGGTAACGCAAATGAGATCAACGACGACGACTTGCAAAAGATGGACGCATTGAAATGGCTTTTTGCGCGTGAGTTGAACGTAAAAAGTGGCTTAACGCACAGATTGCTACCTTAATTTGAATTTGCTAGTAGTTAAATGTAAACGGGTCGAACTGATGCGCCGGCGCTATGATATGTTTCGATACTAGTCTTCACAGAGACAGCTGCACGTATGTACAATCACTGAGAATTAGAGTGTAGTATCTGTTGCGAAATTCTATCCATATCTTTACATACAGATTTTCAATGATACAACATTAGAGACGTCATCACGGGACACAGTATGCTGGACATATGCTATCGCAATTCTAGTACTTGCACATATTTTTACTGTAACGCAAATGAGGTGTTTATATAGTGCATTTTACCGAAAGGATTTTCTTATATTACAATAATGAACTATCGTCGACTTTTCAGAACGTGGCCATTCGCTGTTAGGCCTGCAATACGTAAATAGCGCCCTTCGCTCAGCAGTGCTAGCTCGAAGGCTACAAGTGGCACGCAAATTAATTGCTCTTGTTCCTACTGATGGGGCTAGAGAGTTAGCACTTTTTGTTGTTGATCGAAACCAGGACAGGAACCGGGACGCTAGAGACGCTTCATCGGTGCGCAGAAGCAGAACTCGGTCGTCGGTACGTTCGTAACGGCTTGGAATGCTTGTGTTTAAAGCCAAAACACAACGCGTTCAAGGCATTTTCATATATACACACACACACAATTGATTTTTTTATATAGTAAATAACAGGTTTTTGTGGACAACTGAAGTTTAGAAGGCTGTGGGTATGAGTCTTCTTACACTCTCAAAAGGGGATAATTTTCTGTCATAAACCGCCTTCAGTGTTTACAAGTTTGGTTCTGTTTGCAGGTTTCCCGTGGTACCATGGACAGCTCAGAGGAAATGGATGACGTAGACGACGTCGAGAGCACGACAAGTGACCAGATCGATCCGATCAAGTGTAAAAATGCCCTCAAAGAATATTTCTGTTTTCAGGTCAGAGAAAAGTACATATAAGACAATATTGCTCAATCAAAGCCTAATATTTATTTCTTAGTATCAGTTACCTCTTTTCTACCGTATGTCTCGGAATAATTAAATTCTCACAGGCGTTAATTAAGAGGCTTTCTATCTTTAGAAGTGCTATGTGAAATCTATTTGATAAAAGACAGCTTTAACCGGGATATATACCTGCCGTTACTGGTAGATATGGCATGCGATATCTTTTTTACGTGCCGCTATATTTGACAACGCATCCCTATATTATTATACATGCCCTTAACGTGTTCAGGTCTACATTGAAGCGCACCATAGCTTTACTGAGTGGTTCGAACATTTCCATAGAAATCGGCCCCAAAGGGCCGACATTGCCGTTGGAGATACGTCAGATGCCAGAAGGCAGGTAAGTAATACAAATGACTTTAAAAGCATTTAGGTATACATACTTGTTACCAAATTTATTACACAACGTAGTAAGGTTTTTTTATACTAGTATATAGTATAAGTGGAATCAAACAGCCGGACGAATTGCACTAGTATCATAAAAGCAAAGTGATTTTAGTCAGTGTATAGTTAAAAAAAAAGCTAAGACGTTCTTGTTTCTTAGTAGTGTCTATGACTAAATGTTTATTTTTTTTAAACAAACTGCATAGCACATGTTGCTATCTTATGTAATTTATAGAGTTTTGCCGTACTTACGATTCTTTTGCTTCTGTTGTTGTTTTAGCTTACGGCCGAGTTCGCGAGGAAGACACTCGAGTCAAAATTGGAGTCATGGCAAACGGTTCTGAATGGCCTCTGTGAGCGGACATCAACTCATTTGTACAATATCTTAAGCTATCAAGATGGAGGCTTCCTGCAGGACCCTTGCGAGGAGGATGTCCCCGATGATAGCGATCAGTCTGTTCTAAACCAAGAGACGAGACGAACTGAAGAACTTCGCGCTCTGAGGAGGCTCTGCTTACCAGAGGTCCGTGATGTATAGCTGAACTTAATCGGACTTGAAAGCCTGGTTATCTTGTTCTTAGGACCGATAGTCGGGATGAAGAAGGTCATTTTGTTCTTGAGACCACTAGTCAGGTGTCATTCTACAGCCCAAATTATTGTACTTTAATTTTATTTACAGACGTTCAAATAGGTATGAATTTGAGATTTATATGTAATAGTTCCTTTCCTGTTCTGTTTAACGTTATAGGTGGTTTCATTATTACATACGGTCCTTCATGGGACTGGGCGGTACGCTGAAGCAATTGACATCGCAAACCTTGTAGCCGGTGAAGCTCTATGCCTGTACAAAGAATTCTCGAAGGAAGATATGGCTGCGCTTCTTATGAAAATACAAGAAAGCTCCGTTGAGCTGCTTAAGATGCTTGGTAAAGTCGATCCCTACGGCCTCGAAGACCAATAACCAGTTTTAATACTGCAGTCTATGGTGATGACCCATCGTTTTCCGCGGAGTCCGTGATGCCCTTCAAGTGTGATTTCTATATATAGAAAGGAACATTCTTAGTTTCCGCTGATTACTTGTGCTCAAGTAGAAATTTTTTCTCTATTTAGAAACCTGAACGTGCAGTCTCTTTGCTGCCAGTAACGAGCGTTCGGTTGTAGCCCATGACGACAACAAAGAAAATTAACTTTCAGATAGAAAAATATTTCTTGATAACGTAGATAATAATATTATAAACTCTGCATTTTGCATATGCAACTATATAAAATCATTTGCAGAGGTATTACTGCATCATACTCGAGTTATTTATGAGGACCCTGAATATGTGGATAATCTTAGTTCAGTGGAAGTTATTGTAGTTCACGACGTTTATAAGCAGAATTGTATAGTTCTCCTATATTTAGCAACAATGTGAAATGAGTCATGCAACATCCTGGCATGACCCCAGATATTCGTACATAAATAAAACAATTACCTTTCCACGCAATGCTTTCGATCTCAGTGATTATTCAATGTATGTATATTTCTCGCAGAAAGTCTCTCAACTAGAACAACTCCTTTAATACGAATTTACACTTTCTTTCGCTCTTGATAATAGTAATAATAATATAATAATAATGTATCATGATAATAAATGTATAACTATTAATCCCGTTATTGTCCACAGGCTTAAATTATGTGAAATAGTTTCCATCGTTTTACAGATAGCGAATCTTTTAACGGGAATGAATATGAAACAGTGGTTATGCGGACACAGTCGTTATTTTCCATCTATGACATTGCAATATAGATTCTTATATATGCTAATCTAATACTATAATAAACACACGTATAAAAAAATATATTTAATGTACTTGAAGTAAAAAAAGCAACACAAAAAATGCACCCTTTCGCCTATGGAGGTCATTCTGAATAAATTAATTACTACGTGTAAGCAATACGCTTAGAATTTTTCTTCATTTACCTCATGATTAAATCTCGATTTCCTTAAAAATCATTAGTACCTAATATGTCGATAAATTTAATACAGACGTCTGTATACCTCAGTAATTATTCCTAGGGCGCACGAAATTTATTTCGTTCATTCAATTTACAACAATTAGTCGGCCGGCTGCTTGTCAATACGTTTTTTACTTATCTGTTCTTGACCACCTTCAGCAATAATATCAAACTGCAATTGACCTTATGTATGGCTTGCTAAATCGTTCTATTTATCAGTCATCTTCCTTTCAACTTCCCTCATATGACCATTAGTGTCACACACTAGTCTTTACCTAGCATACCTAACACACTGTATCTGTTCAAGTGGTATAGGTAATCTTTATTATATAGAACACATGCATATGAGGTGATAACACTGCTGATTTGTTAAGTCTAGTCAATATAAACACACTCATAAACATTATTTTAACCTAGTTCCAAACTATAACTACAGAAATATAGTTAAATGAAAGGAAAAAATTCGGATAATTTTAGATTTGAGCTTTGTTGCCAGCATACCCACCAGTGTCTCTCTTAGAAGGAAAGTAAAGCTGGACCTCGGTACAATGGTACAATACATATATTTCTTGCACCGACTAGAATTACAGCAGGATCACCTTTTTGTTTCTAGCTGGCGGTGCAGGTAATTAAAATAACTGAAGGATGTTATACCGTACCTGTTCTACCGGTTGCCCCTGACAGTTCACGCAAATTTTACCCTTAAAAATTGATATTTAGCCTAATCACGACACTATGCATTGTTTTTATTTATTCCTCTCCATACACATCACAGGTTCGTTTTTTCAGACACCTTTGATAACATGTTCAACCTGCTAAAAGTTAAAATGACACACCCATTTATTACTATATGTATCAAACAACTAAGTCGTGATACGTATTCATAGATAATCACTCAACTTTTGTGTGGCTATTTATGCTATTCTTAATGCTGATGTGTTGTCGGAATTGCAATCGTTCTCGCCTACAATGGTAAAGGCATGAAAACGAGTATGGCCCGTGTGTAATTAAATCATTTTTTTGCATACATGCGGCTCAATAATATAGCTATCAACACATTCGTGTTAGTCACGTAATCGTTGAAAGATCTAAAGAATCACCTATTTCTTAAGTAGCCGGTTCATCTGGTTGTTCTGGAAGGCGATTGTACCTTCAGCCAGATCAGTCTTGCAAGCGATATTATCGAGAAGGCTGAGCTGGTCATCTAACTCTGTATTCAGACCACTGGCCAGTAATGTCAATCTTGTTAGGCCTTGGCTAATCTCTAAGAAGTCGGCCTCCAGTTTCTTTTCAACCATTTGCGAGCGGGTCATGGCAGACGCAGTTCTGAAGGAGTCGCCGTTATTCGCGTCAGCGTTGTCATCATCATCGTCATCGAAGGCTGCTCCAAAACCGGACGTGTCGTTGAGATTGCGCGCACGCAAATGCTGATTATTCCGAGCCTTTCCCATCTCCGAGTCGTTGCGAAACTGCAATGAACTCATGCCGTTGTAAAAGGCACTCAACAAACATATATATATATAAAAAAAGATAGAAAAAAATCCGATAGTTTTTTAGATAAAATTGTTTAGACAGCGCTATGTTTAATTTTTTTAATAATAATTAAACTTATAGAAAATCCGTTTCCATACTGTTCCTTTCATGTTGCAGAATATCATAAAGTTCTTTTCCTTTGAATCAACATACCTAGATTAGGGTTTCAAGCTTTATATTCGGTACTGCCATTAAACATTGCTTCAAAATTGACACACCTGAGTCACAATTTTCAACAGCCCATTTTTCTGTGATGATTCGCTCTCAGGCGACGTCGCTGTTTGACTATTCGTACTTCCACTACCATCGGCGGTGCTCGAGCGTCCAAAATAGCTTTTGAATCCGGTAAACACGCTTTTCATAGCTGTTAGATGTTTCTGCGTAATCTTTGTCATACTGTTAAGGTCGTCCAAATTTCGATCCACCTTACGCAGCTGTTCTCCCTGGTGTACCAGCTTTTCCGCTGTGTTTGTTCCAATCTGCAAATACACGTCGATTCAATAAAAACAAGTTGTCACTATCGTTCAGTTCAATTTTGTCACTTTGTTTGTAGAGGGAGCCATTCTAGAATCACCTATCATTTTATGCAGGCGCTTCGGTTTAAATGCAGAAAAATTGAAGAGCCTAGTTTCCCATTTCCAAATACCGCCCTTTTTCGCTTTACTAAGTAGCATTAAAAACAAGGTGAAAGGATAAAGGAAACATTTTGGTATACATACATTCAAAGTTTATAACGAAACAAGGGAACAAAAAATTGGTATATTTACCTCCTCAGCTTCGAGCATAGCGCGTATAGCAGAACTCGAACTTTTCAGGACTTGATCTTCCAATTGACGTCTTTCCTTCAACAACCGTTCCTCGAGAACGCGGTTCTGCCAACATTAAAAAAAGGGAGAATTTCATGGGAGCTTTGAGGTTGTCTCTTATTTCCATGCTTGCGGAACGAATGGATCCATTCACACACAGTTCTTGAGAAATCGCTGACGATAGCTTAGAGCTAAAACGTCACTGTTTATTTTCATTTTTTACCACTATCGCTATTATTGCCAACAATAATTGACGCTGCAATGCGTTGATGATAAATTCTACACGGAAATTGCTTGATAATGAGTACCTCTCTAGATCAAATTGCCACTAGTAGCCTAGACGAATACAAATACCGTATTAACACAAAGCTACTGATAATCATAATTACAGTACTTATTTTTAAATGGATTACAAGCAAAATCGACAAGCGGCTTTTGTTTGCATCCCTCTATCTGACAAGCAATATTGCAATCGGTTATATCTGCTAAGAAGGCCACTTCAACGATGTTTAACATCTACCTTTTTACTTATGGACGAAACGTGCTTATTGGACTATGGGCAATGTTAAAGAAAAATAGATCATAGGTGAAAAACAAAGAAACGGTGGTTTACAAGAGTTCGGTTGGTACTCTGAAAAAAACGTTTCAAATATGACATCTTTTTCAAGAAGTGACCTTCGAGTCATTTACACATACTGCAGCCCATAACCATCTGATCACTAAGAGAAGCTTCGTCTTCGAACAACAAGCCGCGCACAATCGTTGAAATATATAACCTTATAAGTCACCATATCCAGCTTTTAATATTTATTTAATGTAATGCTCGCTTGTAATACAAGTTTCGGATGAAACAGATAGACGATATGCTTTACGGCACAAGAATAACGGCAGTTTTAGTCGTCCTAGTATCGATAGTACAAGTGATGCGTTAGCCATTTCCTTCTGTGTTGTACCTGATGTTTACACGGCACTAACAGTGACCGCGATCATTTTTTTTTTTAATTTGAGATGTTAACGCCGACCGCTAGCGAGCGCAAGTCGCCCTGCAGCAAATAGCGCCGACTAAAGTTCGCAGTAGTTCAATGACTCTTTGTGTAACTAAACAACTTTTATCAATCGAAATCCACAACCAGATGCCATAGATACACACTAGATACGATTGTGGTGGGCGTTATGACGCAATAACTAATCGAGGTGAATCACTTAATCCAACAACATCACAAATTTTGCTCAAGTTGTTTTGTAGCAACTAACATTCCAGCTGCTTAATTAAATTCGTTTAGGAAAAGCATCTGCACTGTATGAGTGCCCATATAACTACAAACCGTAGCTCGAAGTCAACTAGCTGATTTTTCATCTACCCATAGCTGGTGCCCAAACTCGATGGGCACACATTGACTTTATACCTAAATATATATATATTAGCAAAAAATGGTATTAGAATCGTCCGATCTGTATGGCAAGTACCGTAAATTAGTGCGCCTTGCTTAACTACTGCCGTAAAATTGCTTCTCACAATCGCATTTCTAAATGAAAAATGAATTTTTCCAAACTTCTATAGACATGCTTAATTAAAAAAAAGTGGTAGAGTCATTTCTATGCGGAATTTTTCCCTTAGTGTGATATTCATTAGAACTGATATGTGATTTTGTGCGTGATTTGGTTCTTAATATTTCCATTGTGTAGCTTAGAAACTGCTAGTTTCTACGAATCTTATCATAGCAGTTCATCAATTGACGACTGAAACAAAAGCTACTATCGACAAAGGCCGATTAGTTTGCAGTAAAACAAAACTGCAAGCAACTCCTCCTTCCCAAGCCTTTTCCGCCTGTGATTGCTTTAAAAAGATTAACATTCAATAGGTGTTGTATTAAGATAATAAGCCCTTTTGTCCTCTGCGTCATCCTATATATTTACAGAAAATATGTTCAACTGTTATTTTTCTAACTTAGCATATAACGCTGTAATTTTATAAGCTCATGCGTATTAAAGTGAACAATAATTTGAATATTGGTATTACCCAATATTTTACAGCGAAGTTAGCCCATTTCATTGTATGTGAATGATCACCCATACTGGCGATAACTGTCAGTAATTGGTCTTGTCTACTATTTAGTGGTCAGTAGCGTTACCTGTTTCATCGCTGGAAAGGCTATTTTGTAACGGATTATACGTCAGACCCACGGGCAGCTTTTCGACGTACTATGCCTCACCTATAAAATGTTCTGATAATTCCATACTAATTTCTAAAGTAAATACGGAGCGAGAATAGCACTATTAGCAATCAATATTGGATTCATTATTATCAGAAAACGATTTGTACCATTAAGAGGATCCTATTTGTAATTAAAGACTGATACTTCGCGCTCTTTACAAGTTCAGCTGGTCCATTTCATTACTACCAGATCAAAATATAGCCAATCTGGTATATATCAAATTGCTAAGCTAAGGTCGTGTAATTTAACGACGGACACATAAATTACTCATGTCTATAAAAGCTATAAACATAGTTAAACATTTGACTTGTAATGTAACAATAACAATGGCTTAATTGAAAAGCTAAAGTTTAATTAAGTTAATTATTATTAATATTCTCAATACTTGCGCTGTATTTCAGTAATAACAGAACGCGCTGACTGAGACCAGTATTTACGTCAGGCGTTACGTGGCTCTTTCATAAAATCCCATATAACTTCAATTAACTTAGTTACTTCGACAATGATACCGCCGCAAATGTTTTAACAGCTTCGCTGTATAGTTCCGCAGCAAAAGCTCAAACGCTTCTATAATATAGTCCACGTAATGTCAGCGTAACTGCAGTCTTACTGCTTGATGATGTTACTCTAAATCACACTGGATCAAAGCTTAGCCGCGACCATTTACTTTAGACCGACTTTTGTCCTGTTATAATAGCGTAGAGAATTGTTTTATCATAAAATGCAATATTATTCGGATGAGAGTAAAGATATTTACTAACTTTTGGCCAGTACGCGTCTACGAACCGATATGCTTTATTATCTATTATTTGTATCGAAAGGTGTCCACTTCCTTGTGAGGAAGCGTCGTTGTCTACTACTTTCCTGCTAATCCATATACCTAACCCGTCTAAGATCTGATCGATTACAACATAATTGGAGGTTTCAAACTTCTATGTCACTGTTTAGCTGTTTTTGTTTGTCGTACTAAGAATCTGTTTGCTAGTCACTCTGAACTTGATATCGACTATGGATTTAACGACTATGGATCGGTTGAAAGATTTATTTATTTTCAACTTGTTTTGCTACCACCTGTTTTTCGTAGCCCTTTAAAGTATCTTCTTGAAAAGCTACTTCCCTTCAACCTTCGATTTCGTTCATAAGTAAGCAATTACGTTCGAGAAATACCCGCCCTGTGTACACCCACAGATACGTAAAAATACATTCGGTATTGAACCAACCGATTTAGTGCGCAGTCACTTCGAAAAGTTTGATTTATATCGATGCTTATTTTATTCACTTACCGGATTTCGATAGCTGAGGAAAGTCTCATCTGTAACGTCTTCATCCGGATCAAAGAACGGATTCTTGTTTGTTTCGTACGACATTTTGATTTCGGCCGTGTTTTTGTTCACTTGCAACAAGAGTTCATTTAGTAATAGCGTTCGCAGTTGACTAGGCACAACGAGCTTGTAACCATGAAACTTTGTGTCAATTAATTCTCGATATTGCCGACTAGTGAAATGTCGTACTCGCCCTACCAACGACGAAACCGAATAGAGACAAGGCACAGGTTGTAGTGAAAACTCGACTCTTCTATTGGCAAATGCCCCGAAACTTTTTTGGTCCAGCCAGGTATGGAAGAAGAAAACGTACCCCCAACCTTGAGCTATATCACTTACATTTTTTTGAGAATACAATGCTTGCTACTTTACTGCATTTCCAGACTACACAGCAGGGCTCCTCACGTATATTCTTGAAATTACTGGTCACCTAGGCGAACAGCTAACACTAATTAGCGTCGCCAGCTTTCACCTGCAAGGGTCTTCCTGGGATCACCAGCTGCTACAAGGTCCTACAGCGCACTAATCACGCTTGCCAGATGTAATCACGAACTCGATTCGATGGTTAAGAGGATGAATCACACAGCAGCTAACCACCTCTCTGTCTCTCGCGGATGGAGCGGAGAGTATTTGGTGGTAAGAGAAGAAGGCTTAATTCTAAAGGACGGACAAAGTGCGTGCGACAGACAGAGCAGAACGACAATATTATCATTCGCTCGCTACTGCTATTAGCCAACCGTTTCCTTGATTTGTGAGCTACCTTAGTACGTTCACTTAACAGTGAGTACCACTTGATTGTGGTACTTTGGGAAAGAGTGAATACAATGATGGAGACATATTGTTTAATGGTGATCGGCGGCTTTGAAAATATTGGCGGAATAATCCTGGCGCCAAAACAGAGTGCCACGGGACTAAATACAACTGAAGAGGCTGGAGATAAGCCAAATACGTATTTCTCGATTGTACACTGCGGCGATTCGCCAAACTTTATACAAAATGCTTCATTAATATCGCTGAAAGAAAAGAATAATGTTGATAAATTATTTTTTTGTTGGTTATGTAAACAAATACAGAGAAAAATTTGTTGTTGTTATTTCAATGCGGCAGTACGCACGGTTCAACCCCGTCCCAGATCAACGGCTACTGGTCTGTCCAACGAAGCCTCCTTCCCCGTTTTGTTTGTGTTCAGAGATTCAGTGAAAGCTGTTATGAATTTCCATTGAGAGAATGAACAGCAGTATAGGTTCCTTTGTTTTGAGTAACTGTTCCTACTGCCCAAATTACACTGACCTTGTTCAACTCGTTTATTGTAGTTTCTATAAAATTAAAAAAGTACTCGGTTCAGTTCAAAACTGAAGCCTAGTCAAACGAATATTGAGTCGACGGCGTACTCTCGCGGGTCCAACTCTAACGGAACATTTTTCTGCTGGAGATTATTAGTCACCGCGTTTATCTGTAGTCTGAGCTGTTGAAGACCCGTTAGCACGTGAAGTCCGTTACAATATTACACAATATTTTTCTCTGTCAGCTGCTTATAAATTATTTTTTTGTTGTTCTAACTTCTTGAGAGATCGAACTTGTGCACCCGGTTCAATCGAGTGCATTTAATCGAAGTTTATAGTCAGTAAAAAAAAAGTTATAAAGGTAAAAGGTTTGCCTTCGGTGTCTCAACAAGTGTATTGCAAGAAATTGCAAACTCTTGAGTACCACCTAAGCATAAAGGAAGTGCGTTAAGATATGTTAGAACGTCAGGAAAAAGAGCTTGTAGTAGATCTTCACGAAGGTCTGTGCTTTAATGAGTTTGGCCGTGCTGTAACAAGCTTGTTAGAAGATCTACTATATCGGACGTGTCATCTCGACTTACCTGTCAAGTGAGTTATGGTGTCACTAATCAACCGTCAAATAATATCAAAAAATGCAGTTAAAACTAGCAGTTTCGCTAGAATCGTCGTTTGAAAGAATGGCAGATTCCATATTCTGTACATTATCATCTACCTATTTCTAAGACAGCATCTAATTGAACCTTTATCTGTTCCTTAGGCATCTGAACCTCGTGCAAGACGAATTGACGCCTCGAAATAGAAAAGATTTTGAAAGACTGAGGAACATTCTTCAGTCTGTCGAACGTCTCGCGTCATCGGGAACCCTCGCGGAGGTGAGTGCCCTATCCTTTTATGTATGTGGGCGCTTTTGCATAATAACTAGTTTCGTTAATACATAATAGTACATAGCTCTAATGTGACAGCATAACAAGTATGATGAGAACAGCACTAGAATTTTTTACGATTCAATTTAAGCAGTATTTAATATCTATATAGTTCAAAAGCAAGAATAACGCATAGCTTTCTCCTGAGAATGCTCGTCACGAGTACAGTACTTGTTTAATTAAACCAAATAGTGTATCTTATAGGTTTGACTAAAGAGACACAGAGAAGCCATCAAAGAAGCTAAAGACTGAGCTTCACTTTTGCTTTATGGTGGAAATTCTTCGCCAATGAAACATTTAGTTAAATGTTTTGATTAAAGCCATTTTATGACGCACACAGCTGTGAAATCGTCTTTTGAAATATGTATGTCACTACCTATATAATATGATGTAATAAGATATATAGGATAATCATCGTCAGGTTAAAGTTAAATTGTGTTGTGTTTGTTTCGTTCGATGTTAGCACCTAATCATTAGACACCTGTATCAAGGTCTGTTTTCGAATTACAAAACCTGTTCAATTTTTATTGACGCATATTTACATCTCTGCCATGTTTTTTTTTAAGTTTTCTTGACGTTCTCACATATTTTTCCGTTCTTACAGGTGGTCCTTCTGCAGGGGTCGACAGTTCCTCTGGCCCAGACAGCCACACACATTTGTATGCATCCAGCGTTATGGGATGACAATACCCCGCGCTGTGACTCTGCCTTACGAGATTCGATTATAAAGATTTTTCGCGCAGTTTGCGCTGCAGATCTGCCAAGTCCAAAGTTTTCCAAGAGTTTCCTATTCGTCCGACTCATTCCGCGACCATCCATACGGACGTTCTCCTCTAGCGACCTTCCGTCGATACGAACAGACGAATGTGGCGAGGTGATGTCAGCAAATTCGGCCGGTACTCGATTATCGGCGACAGCCGAAGCGTTTGATGTGGAGGGTTTCGAACGACGCGCGGGCTTGCCAGTAAGTCGCGCCAAATGTCGTACCGTTTTCTGTCTGCGACAAGATGGTGAGCGTAGACGAATCAATGAAAATGCCGACACGTCGGATAAGGAGAGCCCTGGTGTCTGGCTGCAGCTAATACAACACTTGCCGACAGTGTCGTGTTCCTAAACCTGTAGGTGTACGTAGGAAAATACAAAAAGAAAGAGATAGAAGCATCTCGACAAATGCAATTAATATTGAATGTTTCTTGATGAATATATAT